AAACAGGTGCCTGAAAAGCTAGAAGAAAACGGTGTAGGAAGTCAGTGATATACCAAAACTGGTCAGTAGCATAGCAATGGGTTTATGACAAATCTAGTGGTATACTACTTAGCAAGGTGAACAGATGAAGGTACATATTCTTGAGGATTCAAAGCTAACGCTATACTAAGCGGCAACTAACAAACAACCAATGTGGCCTGCTTCGACTGTCCACTGTACACTGCCTTTAGTTTTTGAATCGAGCTATGTTCACTGGAATTGCGAAATAAATTAGCATCAACTAGTTTTAAAACATCTGCATCGACATTGATCGATTTTTGAGAATCTTTCCACCGACAAATTTAGAACAGGTACAAGTACTAGTTCAGTTGAATTTGAAGTGGTAAATATCAGTTTTAGTGACTGTATACTATTGGTAAAGGTTCATTAACAATACTGTCATGACGCGTGATGAAGCCTTCAGAACGTCTTCGTAGGAGGCTACGCTCCTCTCTGCATTCAAATTAACTTGTTGAACAGCAGTTTTGCCGGAGTGTTTCTTTCACCGCTTGTCTGACTTCTCTGATCTTCCAGCAGTACAACAACGGGTTTAATGACGAGTTTAAGTAAACAAAAGTAGGGGTATACTCTCTAGCAAGGTAAACGGATAAAGGTAAACCTTTTTCTGGCGTCAGAGCTACCGCGATACCATACGGCAGATAACAGAGAACCAATGTTAGTTGCACCCACAGTGCACTGTACACTGCCTTTCTGTATCGTGCTATGTTAAGCGGAATTGCTTGACTTGATTGTCCTTGAGAAAGGTGACCTTGTACTTTGAATCGGCTGTGTCGCAGAGTGAGAAAAATTTTGGTGTAAGCGATGATTGAGGTGACTAAACACAGTGATATACCGATATTGCCATACCAAAAAGTAATTTGGGGATTTAAATAGTACATAGTGGCGGTGATAATGGATATAGCCCACACTATGGCAATTACTGCATACATTCTCTTCGAAGTAACAAGTTGTCTGTATCTGAGCCCTAGCAACAGAGCGAGAAGTCTGTCCACGCTTACTGCGGTCACTGTCAGCAAAGATACGGAACACAAAGTATAGCTAATAATGATATTGTAGTGAAACACTTTGCGACAAATATTCCATTGCCTGTTCATCTGAGCCGTGCAGCGTATAACGGCTAGAGGATCCGCACTGAAACCAACACAGAGATCAGTTATCGCCAAGTTACAATATAGCAGTTTGGACGGCGGATGAAGTGAAGATTCTCTGTAAAGAGCAGTTAGAATTAGGGCGTTTCCCAGAACTGCGGTAATAGACAGCAAGATGTGAAAAACTGAAAGACTTATTAAATGGCCGTTTACTTGTTCAACTAATTCTGTAGAGCAAAAGTATTTTTCAAGTGACGTCTTTTCCTCCTCTTCAGTCAAATTCTCAGCCGCCATGTGTCTTCTTCCCCATTCACTTACGTGTGTTTGTGCATTGCAATAATTTAACGAATTTTATGACAAATGAGGATTTTAAAAAGGTCTGTTATGATTACAATATTGTTAATTGACAGGTTTGCAAATTTATTCTTTCTCTGTCTTTTTTAATACCCAGCGGTTTTTTCACGATTAAATAAAAAAATCAGTCCTTTGTCAGAAGGCTGAGGAGGATTTGCGTCATGTTTTATTTTATATATTTTCAAAGCTCGGTTTAAAAGTCCAGATAATTAATCTGACGGCAAAAAATATACATTCTACTCTTATCTGCACTACAGGTTACTGAAGACGGGTGGTCTTTTGTCATTTTAAGTATCGTAACACGTCATTTTTAAAAACGGCTTCCAAGCCTCTAGGCTACATAGTTCCGTGTTTTAAAGTAGTATACTGGGCATTTTAAAAGGGTTTGTAAAACGAAACAGTGGTCCTTCTTTTTTAGGTTCCTAAAATGATACAATGCTTAATTTCTCTGTTCTTCTTTTCGTTTGGAAACTTTAAATCCTTTCCTACTTAAAGCAGTGTAATTCTACGGTATCACGTGAAAGTGGCTTATGGTTTGACGTTTTTCTTGCCCGCGTTTAGCTGCGTTTTGTGCTGTTATTTGTCATTTTTCCGTATTACAGTGTGTTCAGTTATTACTATAATGACCTCGAAATTCTAAGATAAAATCTCCCAGGCCCCTGAACTACCCATTTGCTTGCAAATAAAATAAATAATATTCAAAACAGTTCATCCAGCTGGACTGTGTAGATTTGCCTATTTGTCGGATATCTTTGAAGGGGTTGTAATTCATGCTACTTACGTTTAATCCTATGGCTGGACTGTGTAAATTCTAAAGAACAAAATAACTGTGTTCAAGTAGAGCAAACCAAGTCACACATACACACCCCTAGACCTATAACTATACATACTAAAAATCTATGTCATACATCAGTACAATATCTACATGGCAAAGAATATCCCGGGCGGCTTTATTAAAGCTTACAATACCAACTATTGGAAACTCCACTGATTAACGTTTCTAACTAATTAAGATGGTTGTGTACTTTGTCCCTTTTCCTTGTAATACGGAGTTCAATGATGTAAATACGCTTTAGTTGGCCTGGTAAAGAACCCCTGAAAAGATGGCAAATAACAACCGATTAAGTTTGTCGTAGTTTGTTTTGTAGCGGCTTTGTTGCGAAGCGACGGCGGAGACCAACCCGATGTATTCATATGTATACAATGTATGTTGTAGGTAATTTTGTATTCAGTGAATTTTTGTTTTTCTTTTGTTTTAAATTTAGTAGGATACATAACCATACCTAAAAAAGGAAAGGGAAAACAAAAAATAACTGAAATAAAGCAGCAATCCACGCGCGGCACCAATTCGGACAAATTTGCGATGAATAAAACTTAAGAAGCGAAGCTCAAAAGATAATTAACAGGGAAAGTAGAGTGATTTAACTTAACCTATGAAACTGAGACTAACAATTTTCCAAATAGCTACATGTACACAAAAGAATACCATGCAATACACCTTTTTACCGATAAGGTGGCCATAATGAATTAATTAGATTTAAGGGGTATTATGGGATGCCTAGGGGGCATGAGCACGATCCGATATACTCGCACAGCATTTACGCGCGCTTTTCGGGCCAATTTTTCTTCAAGTTTTCCTAGAAAAAGATTGTAATGGGAAAAAAAGATCGTTGTGCTGTGTTTGGATGTAATAATGACCGCCCTTTTCCTGTGAAATAAACAGTGAAGTTCTCTTTTGCCCGAAGCGCGCGCGTAAATACTGAGCGAGTGCCCCCCTGGGCATCCCATAATTCTCCTTAAATCTAATAAATTTAATATGGCTGCCGTATCGGTAAAAAGGTCTATTAGTGTATAATGGTGCGTAGTTGTCTACTATCTATTTCAGGGGTTAAGTAACATCACACTTGTAAATGCTCGATGGAATCAACCACAGTTTGGACGAAACGGAGTTTTTGCGGTTTAAAATTTTAAACCGGAATTCCGAATCTGGAAGCTTTGATTCTAAATCGAAACTGAACATACTGCCCGATATCTAACTCTTACTACAACAAATGTGTCTGAGTGTTTCTTTTACCGCTTGTCTGACTGCTTTGATCTTCCAGCAGTACAACAAAGGGTTTAAAGATGAGTTTAAGTACACTAATGAAACAGTATACTTCATAACAAGGTAAAAAGGTAAGGGGTAACCCTCTCGAGGCTTCAAAGCTACCGCTATACCATACGGTAGATAACAAACAACCAATGTAACTTGCACGCACAGTGCGCTGTACACTGCCTTTCTGTATCGTGCTATGTTCAGTGGAATTGCTTGACTCGATCTTTTTTGAGAAACATGACCATCGAGTTGAATTTTGTTGTGACGCAAAGTGAGAAAAATGGCTGTGTAAGAGAAGGCTGAAGTGATCAGACATAATGATATGCCAATTTTTTCATACCATGAAGTAATTAGGGGATTCAGAAAGTACATCGTTGCGCCTACAATGGACACAACCCAAAACATGGTTATCGATGCATATGTTCTTTTCAAAGTCACAACGTGTCTGTACCTGAGACCTAGCATCAAGGCGAGAAGTCGGTCCACGCTTATAGCAGTCATTGTCAGCAAAGACACGCTACATAAAATATAGCTGATGATTAAGTTTGAGTCGAGTGCATAGCGCCAAACAGTCCATCGTTCAGTCAAATGAGCTATCCAATACGTAACAGCAAGCGGTTCAAGAATAATGCCAACGCATATATCAGTCACTGCGAGGTTACTATAGAGTAGTTTGGACGGCGGATGAAGTGAAGATTCCTTGTAGAGAGCGATTAGAATCAGAGTGTTGCCCACAACTGCAGTAACAGACAAAAAAGAATGCAGCACGGAAAGAAATATAAGATGGTCGTTTACCTGTCCAGCTACTGATACTACAAAGAAAAGACTTTCTTTGATGCTTTTCGTTTTCTCGTAACCAGTAATATTCTCCACCATCATTTTATTGCCGTGCGCGTTCCGGAAAACATGTATTTAAATGATCTAAATTTATTTTTTTCGAATATAAGGTTTACAATGCGTGCGCCGAGATTTTCGCTTTGAGCGTTGTTACACCCAGCAGTCCGGCGTATTTGAAATTTAAAGTGGATCATTACTCCTATATAAGACGAGGATGATGAAAAACATCGCGTAATAGCGTAATTATTCTTGTTGTCACTGTTTTTCAATTCTCCTTTATATAATGTACGAAGATAAAAAGAAAAATAAAATTTGCCTAAATACTACTAACTTTTGCGAATATTACTACTATTTTCCTTTCCGCCGACTGATGGCGGGCGTTGATTTGATATTTTGCCTTATTGTGACGTGTTCAACGATGAGCTGACGGAAATGATTCTAAGATTATATCTTTCAAGTTCATTACCTTGCTCCTTGTAACCGTCATTCAGTCTCTGCAGTAATAAATACTACAAAAGACAAACCTAATTTGCAAATCACATGGTTCTACGATAGAGTTGCTGAATTTTAGCGTCAAATCAATAAAACGGCTTACAAAACTGAGCGTGCTTCTTAGTTTTAAAAGCATTTACTGACCACTGTATTTGAATTCACAACTAACTGTACTGTGTTTTAATAACCTGCAATTTTTGATGATTAATATAAACAACCCTTTTCTTTATCAGAAGATCGATGAGGATTAGCTTCATTAGAAAATTAAATGGAATTACTTTTTTTATATCAGTCCTCGTTCACTGACTGAAAGGGGGTATTCTTTTGTCTTTTTGGCTATTGAGAACCTTTTTAAGCCCCTAGGCTAGTTCCCTTTATAGGTAGTCTGCTGTTTATTGTCTTATCGCAATACTCTGTGCAATACGGTGCACATGCCACTATGCCGGCTCCAAAATGATCTCCATATAGTTTCTGTAAAGAACTTGGTGTTAGAGTTTGTAAAAGATCAAAGCATTTTCTTCTAGGTGATCATTTAAGTCTCACTACCTTCTCTCTTGATGATGCATTTATTTTGTTATAGAGAAAATTGATGTTGGTCATTCGTGGGACTTGAAGAGTTAAGACGGAATCCATCAGGAAATTGAGTAATTTTAATTTTCAGTGGACAAAAAACTTGGTGTAATTACCGATAACTAATTATATCTATAGCCCTTGAAAAATGTAAAAAAGAGTGCGATATTGTTTTAGTTATTCTGGCGCAAGGTTTTTGTTCATTGAAATTGAAATTACTCAATTTCCTGATGAATTCCGTCTTAATACCCATCAACTGCGTCGGTCCGCAATGCAAATTCAAAACTTATTTCCCCTTGTTTCCTGTTGTTTTTCTTACGTAACCTTGCCTAGAAAAAAAAAAAAAACATTCCCGGCGAGGATATAATTTTAATTATATCCTCGAAACGACAACATAAGTAAAAAACGAACTTCAAAGTTGTTTATTTCTTTAAAACATGCTTTGACGAAGCAGTGGTTAACTCGCAGGGATCCCATGTTCTAGGTTGAATGTTTTGTTTGTTTTAAGTTAGAATAAAAAAAAAAAAAAAAAAAAAATTAATAAAAAAAACACCCGAGAGGAGAAAATTTTTATTATTATCTCGTCAAAACGACAACATAAAAAAAAAACGATCATAAATGTTTTTTTTTTTTTTAAAAGATTTGTTGAAGAAGTGGTTAATAACGCGGAGGGCTATCTTTTTGGTGGATTTTTTTTTTTTTTTTTATTAAGTAGAAAAAAAAAAAAAAAAAACAAATTGACGTATATGACTTTCTTGTGCATGTTAGCACTAAGAAACGAAATCATCATTCGACAATGCAAATGTCTCTGTCAAGAAAGATTGTTGAGATCTAGAAACTTAGCTACTATGGTAATGTGATGTCACGCTTCTCTCCATAGAAAGGAATTTACCGTGTAATTTTCATGTGTTATTTCATAACAGGCCATGTCAACACCTATTCTCCCATTTATGTGGACTAACTCAGTCAACATTATCAATAGTCACATGATCTCGTTGGACAAACGCAATTACAGCACGCAAACAGAGCAGAAATCGTCAATCTTTCTGAACCGGTGGACTTGAGGATAAGGAAAGGGAGCGACCCTCTAAAAACGTCCAAAGGAAAAATAGAATACTCCAAAACACTGAAGCATAGCTTTATTGTGACGCATAATCAGAGCACAATCAACATAGAAGTAGATGTGCTTGGGAACTTTACTGAGAAACTATCACGAGTGGTGTATCTAAGAAAAGGGCGACGGCCAACTATGGATGGAGACGAAAACGATAAGGTGCGAGTCATTCCCCAGTTCCTTCTCAACGAAAGGAAAAACGTCAGTTATTACACCAATGAGGTGAGATAGCATTTAAATTGACTGTATATTTCAATGCAGCTTACTACTTTGTAATTATTGTTTTGAAGTATTTTGAAAGTTATTTTTAAGACGGATCTATCTTAACTTTTGAGTTTAGTTTTTGTTTCATTCTGAGTCTTGTGTTTGTCCACGTACTGTTTTCCTGTTTTGATCTTTTGTTTTTACTTGTACTTGAAGTTATGCTTAGCTCGCGAATTTACTTATTGCCGTATTAGGAATGTTACAGGTGGTCGTGTTTGTGGTGTTAGAGCTGACCTTCGTTCTTTGGTAATTATCAGCTGCGGCTGTGCGTAGGCTAATCTATTCCCTGACAACAGCAAACCTGTTACAATGTTAGCGATAAGGTATACAATAGAAACTCTTCCGGTCAGCTAACCCAAACATATCCAGCTTTGGCTATTAAAACCGCTACTATACTTGAACTAGTGGAAGTTAGTAGAGAAGAGTAGGAAAAGTAGAGTAGAAGTAGAGTAAGCAGAAGTTGTAAGAAGACTAAGAAGATTAAAGGCCAAGATGTAAATCAGATTCCTGGTACCTCATCTTGTAGCGTGCGAGTTGCTCGAACACTCCCCCACATTATAAACTAATGGCATTGAGGTACCATTTTTACTTGTTGAATTTAAATTTTTTTTAAGTTGCTGACTTTAGACTGTGGTCTTAACAATACAATGATACCGTCAATTTCAATAATACCGATGAATTTTGAATTCGGAAAGATGACCTTTTGTATGACTACAGTTTTTACATTCAATCTTCATAAATCAATGGTTTTGAAAAATAAAAAGATTGGTAACGTTTAAAGTTTTAAAAAGATATTTATCGTATGTCTTGGGGGTCTGAATCGAGTAACCGTTCGGTGCAGTAAGGCGCACTGAACTAACCAATCACAGAGCATGTATTAAATTAGAAATACAGTCAAGCTTCTCCATACGGATACCTCTCTATGACTTACAGTTCTCGTGGTTCTAGAGGACACCTGAAATAGGGATACCTGGCTTTTGCCTTTGGAGTCAGTATCAAGGAGGTTTGACTGAAATAGCTACAATCGGCAACAAAGTTGTTGAGACATTTGTATTCAAATTGGGTAACTTCAGAAAACAAAAGAATCCACACCCCTCCCCTGCCCCCTCCATTCAAAGTTGGGGTGTTTGTTGTTTTCTGTAGGTAGCTCGAACATCGGCACAACATTGCACGGAGGGGATGGGGAATGAAAAGCTATATTTCCTCCTTTTGAAGTCAGTAAAACGTAAAAAAGCCCAGTTTAGGATCTAAACTCATGTTGTTGCCGATTGTAATCCTGCGTGTATAGTATAACAAAGATTTTGGTCTCTTTTGCTCATTGCTTTCAACAGGAGGGAACTGGGGATCCTAAAGTGTTATTCTTTAGCGACAAGGAGTTTAATGGGTCCACCGCTGGGGAATATTTTGTGATCATTGAGTACAATGGAACAGTGTCAGGAGCTGAAGTTTCTACAGAACAGAGGTCTGTAGCGTTGCCACCAACTTCAGGTCATATGATTTGACGATTAATTACGTGCTTATTGTTGTTTTCCCTTTTTCCCTACATTGATCAATTCCTTGAAATTAAAACCAATAGAAATGAAGTACTGTGCTCTTGGAAATTACACAATGCGCGCATACCCTACAGATTACTTACTGTCTGTTAGTAGATGGTAAAAAATCTGTAGGGTGCACTTTATCTAGTCCCTAGGCCTCATTATTCCGCGCGGCCTATGCGTTTTTGGTCACGTGGTCCGAGTTCGTCTCGGATTCGTCACCTAAATGCATTGACCGAGATGGCCTGGGTAGACGCCGTACAGGGATTAGGCAAGAGTGAATATTAATTAGCCATTGTTGGATGATGCTGAGTCTGATCTGAAGAATTATGAAATCAAGGGCGGTTAACACTCTCCATACCACCTCGTACCCAATGCGGATTCTTAGAGAAATTGTAAATTTATTATCTGTGGATTAGTCAATCAAATACTAACGCAATGGCCTTAATACAAGAAGGCCTTGAGTTGGAGATCCACTAAAACATCTCAACGGGACAGAATATTTAGCATTGCATATATTATTTACAGGTCTGTGGAGTACCTGTTTGCTGTTTACACTTCAGTCTGTTTGTACTGGAACAAGTTAACAGACACCTAGATTGATGATGGCTGCACGGTAAGGCAGTTTCATGAGTACATACAGAAAATTGTCCTCAAATCAGATAAAATTACAATTCCAAGGAAAGTTTGTGATGGCTCCTATGAGTCGTAAATCAACCAGATTTCGGATGTTTTCGTATAAGAAGGGTCGAATTGCCCCAGCGCTATGAAAGGAATATCGCTCAGGTCTAAAGGGTTTTGGCGATCGGGCTCACTATAGACTTGACCGAAACAAGAAACCGCGCATGAAAAGTCTCTGGCACCCAGTGTAAGTTCTCTTAAAAGCTGGACAAAAAAAGCGAAAGCAAGGTCAAGGAAAACAAGTCAGAATATTATTGTAGATATACTTTTAATGAAGCACGAAGCCATCGTTAAATAACTTAGAAAAATAAACACTCTGGATATATACATGTATTTACAACAAATAGCAAATAATTCAGAGCAGTACAGTTGTTGTTGATGTCCCACTGTCAGAATATTTCAAAACGGTCATAATAGGCCTCTTGGGATTCGTTCGAGTCCGAGCAAAACCGGTTTCATCAAGGAATCGTTGATAAACCGCTCATTTGGTTTCATTCTCTGTTCCATAGCCCATCGCAGAGGCAACGGCAGCCGCAACCTTGCCGCTACTCTGTTCATCTCCATCTTTCTGAATATTAGTCAAATAAAAGAGCCCCGTTAGCACGGAAAGGACACCGCAATTAGCCCTTTCACTTACACTTACAGTGTCAACTGGAAAGACAAACGTAGTTCAAACTTTGGGCGGGGTTTGTGGATGTAACCCCAGAGTGTGACCATTCAAGTCAGATTTCTTTAACAGTAGTTTCAATTGTTGCTATCCTCTAGATTCTACGACGAGTACGACAACGATTACGAGATTTCTCAGTATTCACGGTAATGCACGCGTGTGAACCATTCACTTTCTCTTAGAAGGCAACGCCGGCAACGATGAAAGTGGTTTATAGTATCGATAAACTCGACGAGGAATCTCCACTTAGCCACAGAAAATCATACTCGAATTAAATCTCACTTTGTCAAGTAGGTCCTTGATAATTCTCAACGCCATTCTGAGCTTGCGTAAAAGCCGGACTTGTCACTCGAGACCAAGATTTAAACTGTCTACGACGCAGGCTACGCCAGTCCTCATTTCAGAAACTAAAAAGGGAATGGGTACAAGCTTTCCGCTAAATGATTTCTGGGATCGTTTGGGTAGTCTGCTACACAGCCGTTTTTAGTGTCGTCACGCAACGCTCCTCCCCACTAACAGCTGTGGGGAGGAGCGTTGCGTGAAGACACTAAAAACGGCTGTGTAGCAGACTATCGTTTGGGTGGACAAGCGTTACTTATGATTGGTTCATAGTTGCCTTAAATACCATCGACCAATTCGGGTGTCCACCCAAACGATTCGAAACGATCTCAGACATCACTGCGTCCAAAACTTGTACTCATTGTCCCTATAAATTTTCTGAAGTGGGGAATTCTCGAACTGTACAATTTCAAAAACAGGTAACATCCTCACCGTTAGCTCAAGATATATCAGTTCACTGATCTTCTTTACGTCTTTTTGCCGTGACAATAACTCTCCTTCCCGTCTAAAACACACAAAGTATAAAATAAACAAATCAATAGGCCCATTGCAGCTAGTCATACACCTGGTACAAATTTTACCGCCACGCTGGAGAGCAGGAGATGACAAACGAAGGAAATTATCTTTTTAACCCTTTAAACACTAAGATCAAAATTTGAATTCTCATTTGTTTCCCCTATTCACTTCCTACAGAAGTAGTGGGAAGAAGTTGATCAAATATCAAGCAAATTCATCTTGTGTGATCATGTCCGTAATTCTCATGACCACTCTGTTTTATAAAGCATTGATATTACAAGGAGAAATTTGATGCTGATCACTCTTAGCGCTTAAAGGGTTAAATGATGTGAGCTCTTTGTGTGCCTTGTCCCACTGCGTCGCTGGCACTTCAAGCGACTTGTACCACGTGAATGGTACAATGACTATTGGCAACTAGACTTGCTACAAGTCGACCTCTTGGCGAGCGAAGCGAGCCTTTTTAGGCCGCGAAGCAGCCCACCGGGAGCGACGAAGTCGCGAGAGGTACGGCGAAGTCGAAGACGAAGACGAAGTCCGACGAATGAAATCCGACGAAGGACTTTTTTGAAAGTCTAATTGGCAACTCACTTTCTGGAATTTAAGGTTTGGACTGGTTAGGTTTTTAAACAAACAAGGGGAATACTTTGGTAAGAAAATTTGCCTTTTGACATGTGCAATTGCCAAGACAATGAATACTAAAGGCTTCTTACGTTTTCCAACTTTTGAATCTTTTGACAAAATCCCACCGTGGAGCCATTCACAAGAAACCTCTCTGGTAGAGCTTCCGTGTGAAACCATTTGAGTTACAGTAGTTTACAACAGAGAATGGAATATTTCATGGATTTTGGCTTGGGTCATTCTTAGAAGGTGAAAGGGTAACGAGAGGCCACGGAAGATTGAATTGATTCCCGTCACACTTTGTACAAGTACACTGTACCTGGTGAAGTCTAAATTGGCTTGCTTCTGTTTACGCACAAACAAAGTTCGTTGGTGAGTATTCTCTTCATGAAGTCTGTTAACAAGAACAAAATGTATTCCATCATGAAGATATTGCCCGGGTTGAAGTTGAGAATGGTCATATGATACCCACACAACCTTTGATATGCGTCGTAAAGCGACGTAAAGTGAAGTGATATTGACGAAAGACCACAGGAGTCAGGCTTAAGTCCTTTTCTCTTTTAAAACGGCAGTGTGGGGCAGTGTCAGTTCAGGAAGAGAGAAAAAGACAAGATCAACGACTTAATTTTACTGTCTTATCATCTATTTTGATCTGGACACTGGAACGGAAATTGCGTTTGTTTTTTGTTGTGTTGACTACAACAAGACATACCCCAGGGATACCCCTTAGACCGATTTCGCCCCTACCAATGCCCCGTGCTTTCTTTCCTTCCTTTCAGCTTCCTTCCTTGTTAATGCCTCAAAAGTTAAACGATTCGTTTTCTAAGAGGCTTAACGTTTGTCAAGAACACTAGTACTTCTATTGCGATACCTGCAACTGGAAATCAAACAAAGAATGGCAAAATTACTCACTTTTTAAAATCACTTGTTATGGCTTGTGAGGCCTTTAGTGACTTTCGAATCACCTCTCGATAAGTCGGAGCGGATAATGTGAGAATGAGTCAAGGAAGTTGATGTGTAACAAATTTTCCAAAACATCACCTTCAGTGAGGCTAAGTGCAGAACTAGATAAATGGGTTTCATTTGCATGACAACTGAAATAAAAAGGTCTTTTCATATCAAAAACTTCGCACTTAGACTCGTTTTCAAGAAGAGGCTTGAGGTAACTGGGATATGGCCTATCTTCTGACTCTAACCGGCATCTCTCTGCTTTGTTGCATTCCTATGACACATGCAGTCTCCCTCCTTTTCTCGACAGCTATAACTCCGTCCTTTTTAGGATTCAAGGATATGTGACCCCAAGATTGCCACAAGCAAGGATTACCAGTTTATCTATTCAAAGTGGCTCTAAAGCGTTTTTTAGGCCATTGGGTTGGGAAGGGGGGGGGGGTAGGGCTATCTTTGTTAGCAAAAAAGGATATGGTGGAAGGGACTTGATTTCTGTTCTCTGCATTAAAACAGACGTCCCTGAATCTTTGGATAATTTCTGCATCTTGAGAAACTGTTCCACAAGCGGACTGTGGCCATAAACGTCAAACACACAGCGAGAAAACTCTGGACCTCTCCCAACAGGACATGACTGAAGAGGGAAAAAGGAGTCAAAGAGGCATGGTAAAACCGTCCTGAATACCTCTATATATGAAAATGGTATCAGCAAACTGGTCAAGAAGCCAGATGTGTTTCCTCAGATAACGCAAACGTAAGTTGTATTATGTTGTGGTATATATGTATGTAAACCTTTACTTATATACGGAAAATCATCAGTTAAGCTTAAGTTAAAAACTAAAATTAATTACAACTGCTTTCCATGATTGCCTTGTGGGAGTCCGATATCACAGCTACCTTCTTGATATTTCGCTTACACGCTCAACAGATGCAGTATTTTTCACGCTTTTGGGCAAGTTATTCCATAACATGGCCCCGGTGTAAGAGAAGCTTCGTTTCAAATAATTGGTGCTTGGTTTCGACAGGCTCAGCTTTCCCTCAGAGTTTCTCAAGTTGTGAGCAGAGTGAGACTGAGAGAAAATACTTTGTAGATATTCCGGAGCAAGGTCAATCAAGGTTTTATACATCATTAAGGCTTTCTGTTTCTTTCATCAAAGAGATAGCCTCTCCCAGTCGAAGGTGGAGAGAAGGTGGTTTGAGCTCGTATCAAAGGGTGATTTAGTAATAACTCTGGCTGCACGATTCTGTAATTTTTGGAGCTTATCACTCACGTAACCACTCAAACAGTGTGTTTTCAGGTTAAACCAGTATACACCCTAGTTTGAATCACAATTGGCTTTGTTTCCCTGCCCTTGTTATACATAGAAGATAAAGAAAGTTGTCCTTTAACCTCAGAAAGGTTTTTACCTACAACGTATAATTATATATAAGTTAAGAAATAACCGTCTGTGCTCGGCTGGTCGTTAATACTCGGCTCACCTCATCTACAGTATTCGTTGGCTTTTCCGAAATCAGAGGTTAGGCCTGCTATCAGAATGGCCGTAGTGACTACAAGAACACTTTATTTGTTGTGACTACATTCAATGCTGAAGACAACATTAACTGCTTTTACAAATACTTTATTTACCTCCCTACGTTTCTCCGCTTGATTCGCCTTGTGGACACCAGTAAATGCGGTGAATGACGACACCTTTGCCTGGAGACGGTTCAAGGAAGGTGACCGTGACGCAGAACTCTCCTTTTCCTCGTTTGCGTGACACACAGTGAGACGATTAACAGTATCACAACTCTCTTCATTGTTCGTTACGTTACCAATGTGTGACCCTTTTTTGACCGCGATTGACTTTCTCCTGATGTCTCGCCCCTGTAGGTGAAGTATGACTTCATTACATCATTTACAAGTACTTTTCAAACGAGAACTGAGGAAACTGAGCCGAAACGCGTCGCCCAATTGTCTCTGGGATCGTCACTTGGGACTCGTCGATAAGTAGCCTCCCACGCAGGCGTTTTTAGGGGAGCTCGTATTTCGTCGCCCGCGTGGGAGGCTAGTCGATAAGCTGTTCCAATTATTTTCAATGTCCCTAGTAACATTCCCAGAAGTCTTTGCGAAAGAATACTCGGCCCAGTTCCCTTCTCCTGTCTTAAGTGACGAATTTGCGAGTTTCACTATTATTGGTTCTTCAAAGTGATTGTTGCTGAAGTTTTGACACAGCAGTTAACTTATCTTCGAATCTTGCATAAACACGAGGAAAGAGTATTTTATCGGGACTTTCGCACCAGACAACGCAGCTATCTTGCAGATGTTTTACAATCTCGACGTTTTGATCTACAATAGTCGCCTATAACCCACAACTCTCCTTGAAGAAACTTACGGTAACAGTTTTTGGGCGTATACTCACTCCCGCGAAACGTTCCTATCGGCGAGGAGCCAGGAGAAACGGCTGTATTTGTAGGCAAGGTAAAACGGTTCCATACCTGAGCAAGGGAGGAAAGACTTGTGGCTTTAGCTTTCTCTTCTACTATCAAAGGTAAGGACTTCTGGCTCAGTTTGTAACCGACTGAAGACAGGCTGGTTTGGTTTGATAAGTTCTCTTCAGAGAGTTCAACTGGAAGTGAAACCAAAGAACCTACAAGGCAAGAAAGTAACTATCAATTCGCCCTAGCTACAATTACAGCCGTAATCAAATGCATATGTCCGAAGTCGCTTCAGATGCAGTTTCTGTGGTTAAAAATTCTGTTCAGTTTGACATTACGATGAACACAGTGGCACTTTTGGTTTTCTTGTTACGATATACTAGTACCATATGATACTGTATTCAGTTGAGCTTTGTTTAGATTGACTTGTTCTACGTTCGAAAGGCTGAGGTTAAGTTGAAGTTGCCCCAAATGAGGAGTGTAAAGAATCAAAGTAACATAGGAGCTTAGACTACGAGCAGTCTCTCTTTTTTCTTAGTCTGTCGAGCGAAACGCGCGAGACACGAAAATGACCACGCGCGTGACTGAACAACTGAGACGGGTGCCGCGCTCCTCTCACTAAATCTGAAGAAAAATAGGATCAATTTAGGTTTCTGGGGAAACTATGCAACTACCCCTCCTTTAAACTAACATTAATACTTCTCACTTAGGGCAAAATGATGGCTTAGGGGAGGGGTAGGTGGCAATTGATCCGAAAAAGAGAGACTGCTCGCAGTCTATAACAGCTGGAATGGACTGTTCTGATTTAAATCAAGCCTGAGTTGCATTGTACGACTTTCTCAATTAATTTTAAACTCATATAAACTATTTGTAATTATTTTTCGTAAAGTACAGTGCAGAAAACTAGTAAGTTCAAGAGTAGCAACTAGCATTGGCGGATCCAGACCTTCAGATAAGGGAGGGGGGCGGTCATCCATACCCTGAGATTGTAAACACATGTGTCTGTAGGCGCTTTGTTGATAATAAAGCACTTATCCTAAGGGGGGGCCCGGTCTCCCCCAATTTTTTTTTTGGCCCTTCGGGTCTCAGTTTGGTCTCAAAATACAGTTGTAACGGGGGGGGGGCACTCCCCTCCCGTGGATCCGCCAGTGACTAGCATTGGTGGATGGAACGTACGTGTAAGCCTGTCTCTAAGTCTACTGCAGTTGAGTGCTTAAGAAGAGAAGCTTGTAAAACACCTTTCGAAGCATCCTGCTTGATTTGCTCATCTTTCCGCATATCTTTAGGTTCCAGTCCTTTAAAATTCCACTTGTCCCAGATTCTTGGAACAGGCTTGGTTCCTAATGAAAAAGTTGTAAAGTCATATATGGCTTTCTGTTCCAACATTTTGTAGCACATCAGGAAATATTGGCTTACCCAGTTTTGAGGGATTACAAAAGTGTACCAGAACAGGTCATCATAGCATACATCAAACTTCCTTAACTTTTTCGATTACTGTAGCTAAGTGAGGAGGCATTGTTCTGGGCGATATAATTGCTGACGCGTTTGCTTACGAATGCGAGAGGGGGTAGCCCTTGTCTATAAGCTCTAGGTATAAACCGCTATGGGTGCGGCTTACAAGTAGTTTAGTCAGGGATGGGGTATGTAATCAAACAGTTTGGTTGGGTTTAGTCTGGAGGCGAACATCTAGATTAGGGTGCAGTGGAGGTTTTTGGCGTCTATAGTCTACAAAAGAGTTCACAGCAGAGCAAAGTCTAAGTCTCCTTACATTTCCCGTGTAAAGGCGGTTTCTTTATTAAAGAAACAACCTTTGTAGATCGTAAATTTTTCCTTTTTAGAAAGGACGTATCTCCGACGGGGTAACCGTTTTACTCGGACAAACCCCATGTCCGACCGCGGGTACGATTTCGTTGGACGTGCGCAAATTTTAGTCCGACAATGTCCGATGACCCACTGTTATTTGCAGCGCTGATAAAATTTGCGTTATCTGTTACACGTGCCTGAACACAGATAACAAACACCCACCAGCGATCCATTCATGGATTAACTGAACCAGTTCTTCCTTGAATTCATCTCCAAACTGCTTGTACGATGTTGGAAATGCTGTGCAAAATGTGCAGTACACAGCTTGAGCCATGACGTTAGGGAACCGCTGAAATAACAGAACAATACAATCTTAAGTAAAAGATCTGATGTCAGGATGACAAAATCCGGGAGATGGGGGTGGGTAAGCTTTAGGCCGTGGAATAGAGTAGTTTTTAGGTGCTCAGTCTTAATGTTCATGTAGGGTATCTGTTTTGGTATTTTGACCCTTCCAAAGGATTTTTTAAATTGTTTTTGCTCTTAAAATCCCAGAAAAACTGATCTATAGTTCAACAAAACGATTTGAAACCTGAAAAAAAAATTTTGTCCTCCATGTGCACGAGCCATCTTTCAGTTTAGGGTCTTCAAGAGGGTATCAATATTTGATTTTAACTTTTTATGCCCCTTTAGTAGGGCCCAGAACCATTATGCAGTACAATGAACCCACCATAACTTTACTAAAGCACCAGTCTGAGCTTTCTGCCAACAGTAGCCGGAAGAACAAGCGTCATTTTTGCGCGTTTTTCAGGCAAGTGAAAAGCACGCATGAAGTGGGTGTAAAGTGCCAGAAAAATGCGACAGGGGAGGGTTACGCCTACAGATATGTTACAAGTCTATACAACCTGGTGAGTGGTCCACTCGACCTCGAGGTTGAAGTCTATCAGATAATGTCTGATGCTAGAGATGAAAGCAGATTCAATCCTCTCACAGAGACAGAGCCTGGCTGGCCTGTGTTTTTTGTGTTTTAGATCACACAGAAAGGTTTTTGGCTACTTTTGCCAAACGTTTATTTGTGCAGAAGTGCATGCACTGGGTAGCCTGTGAAGGGTAGGGAAAGGAGGAATCAAGGCTCCCAAGAACATGCTCTCGCAGCCATACCCTCCTCCTCCTTTCCCTTCAAATGCCTGGCATGCTGGCTATGAATGGGCAGGTTAAAAGTGCTTACCTTCAGAAACTTATCCCTGTACTGTGTAACAGGTGCTGTAAACAGCATCTTCACATAATTGTGAGCAATGCGGTTAAACAACATTTCTTGGATATTCCTGTTGGGCTGGACAAAAATTTAGGTGACAGCATTAACCATACAGTGTGCATTGTATAGAGCAAACCACTCAAAAGTAGTGGGAAAGAGTCAGTTATCAATCACTGCAGTAACTATGGTTACACCCACCTGATACTTTTCCAAGAAGTACCACCAAAACAAGTCCTGAAAGTAAATAAGTAGATTTTAAACATCATGACAATAAATTTATTTTATACCCAGAGATTCGTCATGTTTACCTTTTTCAATCCCAGATTCAATATCAGAGGGTCATGCAGGGTAGTTCTAAATTAATTTTATTTTTGAATCTGTGGTGTAAGTAACTATACTTTGGCATTTGTCACATGTGTTTGGTATTTTAAAATAATCTATATAATACATGTATTTTAACTTTCACTTTACACAGTTTTAAGACTAACAGTGAATGGATTGAATGAACCATGGTATATGGTAAGAATATACGTCCTTGATTCTCATGGTTTTCTTCGTTTTTACACCTACATTACTGTTTACAGGTATTCCATACCTGTAGAATGTCCTCAGAAGTTTTGGCAAACATAAATGACTGAAACTCACGCTTAAAAGATGGCTAAAACAGAATAAGACCGTCAAGCATTATTTTCTTCAAATGTATACATGCACTATTCAGCAATATTATAATCTAAACAAGTTCTTTGAGTTTGGCTTCAATATCTGTTCAACATTAATACTGTTGGTGCAACAAATTTTGTTGCACCAACAGTATTGATCATTCTGGGATAACTAATGGCAAATGTCTATCCATAACTACCTGTATAACAAAATTCTCAAATCTGATTGGCTATCAGTTGTCCTGATTGCAGCACCTATAGGACAGTATACGCCATTGCACGCATCGCTTAAATGGCATTTTTTTTCACTGCTTGCAAAATTTCCTGTGTTTTGATTTAAAAAGCCTAAAATATCACAAATTTTGTTACAGTTATGACTAGTTGGTAACAGAACTTCGGTCTGTAATCCTACTCCTGATTAAACAAATAATTTGGGCGGGTGTTTATCACTCATGTGATAACAGACTGAAGTGGACTCCACTCAGTCCTATAACCATTATAAACTGTATGATGATATTATTTTTTTCACATACTACTATAATGATACATACCAAAGAATCATTTTGATTTATTTTCTAATGAACTTGAATACACTGTACATTCATATGCTACTTGTGTACAACAGTTTGATATTATCACGATCTTACCTTCTTTCTGAGATCCAGCTGAGCACTTAATACTGTTGACAGAATTTCTTTTGCTTGAAAAGGTTCAGGAAGAGGAGTGACTTCATCTGGTTCATACCCTGGATAAACATGCAACTAAACAGAACAACAAAAAAATAATAATCGTCAACAAAAAAAAGCTATTCTCATTAGAGTAATATCAGGAATGGGAACATTGTCTATATATCACAGGTGCTGGAAAGAGAAAGAGAATTTTGTGGAAAAAAAAAATGAGTCCCAATGTAATACGCACCCATTTTAACCTGGGTATACTGTGATCATACAGGTGTATGACTTTGAATCCTTTTGGGAGAGGAAAAGGGTGGGACACTTTCCTTGCCTCCTCCATCCCCCTTCCCTGCCCCCTCACTATTCTGTAAATCTGCTGGCCACTACAAATATGCCACAATCAGACAGATAAAATCACAGGTATAAAAAGTCAAAGAATTAAAAGTAACAGTACCTCCACTAGCATTGGCTTCATACTTGAGCTCTTTCCTTTCTGAAATGATTTGTGCATGGGGTAGATAATAAATAAGATCATGTACATGTTTAAGAGTCATGGGTTATGCTGTATTTTGCTGCTGTCAATAGGTGACTTAATGCTTAATGCCACAGAAGGTGGGTACAGCTGGAGACATGTGGGCCTCCTTGACTCCTGTGCACCTTTACATAATACACTACAGGTACATACAGCCCTAGCTGGAATCCTGGACCTTAAGATCCAGTGTGCCAGGTCCAATGATTATTAAATAGTATTCTACAAAGAATATTTTATTCTTTTACTTATCAGAAACAACATCTGACAATTCATGCTGTGTTTTATCAGGGCTGTCATTAAGAGGCAGGGGCCAGGGATTTCCCCCGGCTACTAAGAACATTTCTTTCATAGCGAAATAGAAGAGAAATAGAACCAAAAGAAATCCCTAGTTAGTTTGATTCCCTGCCTACTTGTTATATTTACCAGGCAACTTGAAATCTTAGTCACAGCACTGTATTATACATGTACAACACTGTACAGTCTCACTGTACTTGAGTTGCAAAGAACAATACTGACTATATTCATACCTTTTTTGAAGCCTTTTTCCAGCCCATTAATTGAGACTGTTGTGGGGAAGTATTCATGAGTGGATTCTCAGAACTGGGTTGTAATGCTGAATATAATATATTAATAATTAATAATCATTCCATCATTATACCTGTTTAACGAAATTACATGGAATTGATTTGTGACAAAAATAATTTCAACAGTAATGTACTTCACTCTTTCTACACTCACCTGATCGTACTGAGTAAACTCCAGCAAACTTGGACACCTCTTTGGCTTCCACCTCTGACAATAAGTTACAACAGAACAAAATTTTACTTCTTTTCAAAAATATTGTATTATGAAACTTAAAAAGCAACTGAAACAAAGCACACATTTATCTCTAGTCTTTCACTATAATTTCAAAGCCCATGGTATCACATAGTGAGGAGGAGGAGGCCATGTCTGCCATGATTATTTTACTGTTGTATTTACCCTTGTCATCACTGCTGTCGCAAATATATCAACCCATCTTTATGTCCTTTGCCACCATTATACCCGTCTAATTTTGGTGGCTTAAGGCCATGACACTTGTCAGAATTTTACCTTTAGATAACAGGACCTCATCACAAATTATCCGAAACTGAGGGGCATAGCCCCTTCCTACCCTAGCTACCCCTTTACCATGTTTTTATATCAGTTTTAACCCCACCCAATCTAACAACACATGCACACCCTGAAGAAAACCTCCTTGCCTTTGTTGCTGATCTTTGTTGACGACTTCCTGGGAGGCTTGTAATCAATCATGAGCCTTCCATATCCAAATTCCTCCTCTTCTGGCTCCACCTCTAGGCCATGTTCTTTCATGTATTTGTCAACAACAAGCTGTGTTGGTGAGTCATAGCTACTCAAGTTGGAATTTAGACTGCTGATTTGATCTGTGATGTCTTTTATGGTACCGCCACGATGAAACGATTCTTGAAGTTCCAATACTGATCCATTAATCAAAGAAAACATAGGGGCATCTGAAGTAAGGTACATATCTCTTTCTTTACTATTCCTAGCTAGGTACTTCATGCTACAGACACTCATTCAAGCCTCAGTCATCACCCTGTGTGCATCTTTGAAGGTGCACACTGGGTGACAGTTCAGGCTTGAATGTACCTATCACAGGCATGAAATCAGCCACAAAGCCTTCCCCCACATGCTCCTTATTCAAAATTGTGTTTCTTGGCACTGTATACCGGTGTCCCCTTTAAGGAACAGTGTACCTACACAACATTTAGTTTCCTTGAAAAAGATTGAGTAGTTAACAAGGAACACATTCCCACACATTGTAACAGTTTACAGATCAGCTGGGAACAAAAACGCAATCCTTCATGCATTCCACTCGTTCATGTGAGTAGTTCACACCAACAAACTGCGCTCTCCGCCTAACTCGATGCCACTACGTATACGATCCGATCTCATTGTATAACATCATAAATCGCTTTAGAATAAGGAATGCTGTCAACCGTCGAGAGTTCGAGCAGTGATGACAGTGATCGGGTGATCACTGAGTGATCGGCCGACTAAACTACCAAATAACCAGCGTATAAAAACACATGATAAAAAGATCGACGGTTAGATTTATACAAATCATTAAAACGCCATCAATGATTAATTATTTTCACACTCTGCTTTCCCAAAGAGAGATCACCTGGCGGAAAGTCTTGACGGTAGTCATTGGTAACGAATGAAGACAACGCTGAATGCAACAACAAAGTTAGGAAAGGTCTTACATACGCAAAGGATACAATCATCTGGCACCTTTTCTCCTTCAGCCACAAACATGCTGTTATTTCTTTAAACAAAGCATTATAAATCTCCGCAGGAGAAAAATCTCCCACTAAAGTGTTTAGAAAACTTTGTGATCGCCTGCAGAGAGCAACAGGTGAGAAAGGACTGGTGCGAGTGTTTATCACGCAATGTTCTCTGGGACTTCAATGGCGGATAGACTATGCTTCGATCTTCGTCAAATAGGATGAACAAATAATGGAATTTTCTGCAATTTCAGCCAAAGGAACGGCCCCAGGCAAACGTGCATTTCATTCTTGTTCTGTTGTAGGAGATGTTTTGTATATTTTTGGAGGAATCGCAGAAGACAGAACGGTTTTTAGCGACATGTTCAGATATGATATATCCTCTAATTCCTGGACTCAGGTTGAAAATCGGGTGCCAAGTGGCTCGCAAAGTAGAGCTCTTGTTTCCTCAGGATTTCCTAGAGGCAGGCTTTGCACTGCTCCGAGTGTGAGCCACCACACGGCGACTGTAGTAAGAGATCGTTTTATTTTAATAATCGGCGGTTGGAATGGGCGTAAAAGATGTGCTGATGTGTATTGTTTTGACACTGTTGAACAATTTTGGCGACAAATTCCTGTATCAGGAGACGTTCCAGTCGGTTTGAGCTCTCACACTGCAACGTTAATCTCACATAAAGACATCCTTATCATCGGACGGGAAGGTGGTGTGCGCACACAAAGACGCTTTGCTGGTGCATTTTATTTAAACTATGAAACAGGAAAATATACAGAGGCAGCTTTCCATGTTTCCTCTCGTTCGGGACACACTGCTAATTTGATTCCTATCAGAGCAAGTAAAGAGACTCACCTTTTTGTCTTCGGAGGCCGAAATAGTGGAGGATATGAATTAATCGGTTCTTGGGACAAAATCGAACACATCGAATCTTCTCTTCCCAAGCAAAGGATTATTACTTTGATTGAAAAATCAACTGTTTGTGACGAACCCAGTGGTAGACAGCACGCTAGGGCAGTTGAAATTGACAGAAAACATTTGCTGATTTTCGGTGGAGAGACATGGAGTGGAGTTCGGGAAAATGTTACAAATGATGCGTTCATTTTGGACACTGATAAGATGAAGTGGCACAAGGTGACTTGTTGTGGAGATGCTCCTAAACTTGTTGGACATTCTATGGTTGGAATTGGTGACAACATTTTCATTTTTGGTGGTGGTGTGGCAAACAGATTTTGCAATACTTTCTGGGAAGTAAAGTTTTAAATACAACTTATTCTTAGATCTTAGCGTGGCCGCGAGTCATTATTACTTTAACCGCTTTGCAACGAAACAAAGCTGTATGACTTGCGGAAAGTTATAAAAGTTGTATTAGTTGGAAACACAGAGGGAAACATAGAGGGAGACACAAGGACTACCAGTGAAAACTGCTCTTGGCTTGGGATTTTTTTAGAGTTTCAATGAGTTTTAAGTGTTGGACAATTCAATAGAAGTCAAGAATTCTTCCAAAAACTAGCGTAACTGAAAATCCTGTGATAACTTCAGTTTTTTGGAATAAAGTTGAGCAATTGAGGTTTTAATGCCAATAAGTGGAGGTCATGTTGGCGTGAATGGAACGACTAAAGAAAATATATTAATGCAAAAAATTTGGGGTTGTAACGTTGCAGACGCTTAGGATCCTTTTCCTGGGTTGGATTGCCCCTTTTTTGATGTTGTTGTTGTTGTTGTTTTCTTTTTAATGGCTTGAAAAGTGAATAGTTTCCCGGCCAAGTGAAAGCAAACTAACAATCAAGCATACGGTTTTATTTAAACACATCGAGGATTCCTAGTTTATTACAGTCCCTTTCCTTCTGGTACCGATGTGTTTTAGAAATCCACTGGTCTAATCTTCATCTCAGCTCTTTTAGCCGAGTATCTGAGGCCTTTCCACGCGCGCCAGGTAATACCATCTTGGTCAGATAAGTGCGGTCCGTGATAGTAGAAGCCATTCAGACTGGCGGTCACACAGCTGTTAAACCACCACCCCCCTTGGTAGTAGTGAGCACAGTTGCCGGCTCCGCTTTTATCATTGTCGCGGTCTTTGGTTGTAAAAGTAGAACCACGGTGATATCCTAAAGAGTCACCTGCGTTTCCTGAAAATAGAAGCACACACAAACACCTATCATTAACTAATCTTTCCTGTAATAATACATATTAACCTCTCGAAGAATACGAAGTACATTTGAAACGGTAAATACTGTTAGTTAGGGTTCAAAATACGCCAAAGGAAACAAAATAGTCATCGTGTCTGATTTCAGCAACTCTATGAAGAAATCCACTACGGTTGTTCCATTAGAAGCATGTAAAAAGGCTGGTCCAAAACTACAATAGATACATATGGTAGACTAAATTCTAAAATGCCTTCTTTCAAAGCTAAGGCAAACGCATTTGTTCCTCTGACGTTTAGGGCCGTGTGTAGTCGCTTCGTTTGGATGGGAGGGGTATTTGGGCTTGTGTGAGTTGCGAAGGAGAATCACTAGTTTTTCTCGGAGAAAAAAGCGAAAACAAAGAAACAAAGTAATAGTTCTTAGGGTTAATTCTTGTTGCTGGTTGTTGTGGCATAACATCTCGTATTAAACCTGGATCAAATCAAATGGACCACAGTAACGTCATATCGACTTCTTGTAGAAAGGAGTCGAGCAGAAATATTACCCTCTAAAAACTTCAAAGGTATGAATTGTGGTTTACAACACAAGGCAATCGCCTACGAACTTACCAGAATAGGATCCGAGACTCAGTTTGTACTTAGTTTGTTCTCTTGACACAGCGAACAAGCTGTATTCAGCATAAGCGGAATTTCCTTTCCAGTCTTGCAAATCCACTCGAAGTTTGTTTTTCGTTTTCGTCAGGCGGTGCATTTTGTCGAGTCCGAGCCAAAACTCACCATTCAGGTTTCCAAAGCCATTTTTGTAGTCCTTCCATCCGCGTTTGAAATTAACTGAACCATCCAGTCTCTTCTGGATGACAGTCCAACCTCCACCGGCTGTTTTTTGGTCACAGAACACATCAAAGGGGCCGAGACTGTCGGGTTTTATTTTGTAGACACCACTCTTCCTTTGACCAGATTTGTAAAAGTCAGCACAGCTCTTTTTACCTAAAAAAGGAATGCAACATTGGTTAACAAGAAACTGAGAAACTGAAACCTAATAAAGTTACCACTGAACTTTTCTGTCAAGATAGTACTTGAATTGCCGAGTGCCGACGAAACAGAATCCAGTCTCTGCATAAAAATTTAATAATCGAATTTCTAGAAATTGCCTGAAGCCGCCCCCGTTCTCCGCTGCGTTGTTTTTTAGGATACAAATTAATGTCCACTCCTTAGTACCCACTTGTTCCCGGTGGTGTCACTAGCGTAGGTTTCTCTTCTGTCTCATTGGGCTTACTTATCGTCAGCTTGCATAGAGAAGAGTTGACCAGCGCTACCAGAGACTCGATCTTTTTCTGTATGTCGTCCAGTTGGTTTTCTACTTTGCCAAGCTTAGCTTTGATGACGCTGGTTGGTTGTAAGCAGTATTGGTAGAAATTGTTGAAATGCACATGGCGCCGGCAGTTGGTAGATGCAGTGATATTATCGACCGGCGTTTTGTTGTCTCTTTGGGTGACATGATTCATCTGATGTTTTGTCGCGCTCGAAACATCTGCAGCCTTAAACAACAATCCAAACGCGGAAAATATAAGAGCTACAAAAATCATTCTTGACTGAGATGAGATAACTCAATGGATCGTACAATGCGTCTGTGTTATCAACCAGGGACCCCACAACAACTCATCTTTGCATTAACGAAAATGTGTTATCTATGCAATGTTTATCAATGAGGCTGCAAGAGGTTTTTCGTGTTAGATTGAATTATTTATTCATGGTTTATTTTCAGTAAGCTGACAACTGGGGAAGTGTTTATACTGAGGACCACAGTATAGTTTACTTGGGATTTTAGAATCATTCAAAATAGCTCATCGCGTAATTGACATATTTTCATATTTATTTTCTGGACCCCAATTCTCTTCTCAGTGTCCAATTATTTTTTTCTTCTTCATAGTCACTTGAAAAAAGGTCGAGCTCAATTCAGTGTCTTTTACCTTTTGGTCAAAGGGGACTAAATCACGTCCTTCTATTCAGTACTTCCAATGCTCCCTCTCCTTTTCTCAAACCATACTTTTTTGCGTATCTAAAAACGTCTTAAATTCCAAAACCAACCCAGATTAAAAAAAGAAAAATAAATGCCAAGTTGGCTTTCAAAACACTCTCTTGGAGGAGTTCGGAGCGATCAAGGAACATTATGGATCATTATGTTGTATTAGTGATGCTAACGGCGAGGGATTGGGCACTACAGGACTCATATCGATTTCCTCGTCGTTTGCCATCCTCGTCTCCAGAGCCCCCTCAGTGAGAAAATGGGAGGTGCCCTTCCATTTCTTAGAAAGAGAAAAGCTCTTGGAACAATAAAATGCAAGTGACGACCAGAAATAGGTCGCCTACTCTACTTGCGGGCCACAACCAATGTATAACCGACATTGAAAGGCGCTGAATAAAACTTTTTCGTATGTATTCATTTTATTCAGTGTTAGGGTAGATTCATTTGCAGCGTAGCATAAAGCCGTCGCATTTGCCCGCTTTGATTTTTTTTATCTACCCTTAAGCATTTCGCCTTCTTCATTCCAATACGCATAGGTTTTAAGAAAAAACTGAGCTCGGAATGTCTGACAAATTCTCATTTTGAAAGTGTTAATGTAGTAGTATGCGCTAATTTCATGGGAAAAAAGTGCCGTGAATGAATATTGAGGCAGATAGCCGGAGAACAAATCCGTTAAAGATCGGTCGATCATCATGTGCGGCTATTGATCGGAAAAACTTTAGTTCCTGCCTAATGAATTAAAATGCATATCTTAACCAAAAGCGTGCTCAAAAGAAAACCTGTTCATTGTTTACAACAATTCGTTTTTTTTTTTCCTTTTTTGGTTTCTGCCCACTGTTATTAAAACTAAAGCTCGTTGGTTCTGGTACCAACAAAAGAGCGGTTTAAGCATTTAAAAGATAGTCCTCCTTCATTGAATTACTTGTTCTAGAACTAAGGTTCTCGAAAACTGGCAAAAATACTGTGACAAAGTTGTTACGCTTGTAAACATTATTTAATACGCCCGGTCACTTTAAAATTATTTCAACGATGAAAATACCCATTAAATTTATACACAAATAACTAACTACATTTCCTACCTTTTAAGTTATATCTTTATTAAAAGGTAGATCCTTTTCTGAAGTTAAATGGGGCACAATGAGACTGGCTTCTTCCGTCTTCCTCGATGATGTATCCCCTTAGCAAACCAGTGCATTGTTAAAATCTTTTTAATGAGCAGATGTGAATTATGTGGATTATCGCTTTTGATCTAGTATCGCTAAAGACCTACTCAGGGATTAAGGTTATGAGGTAGGAAAATAAAACGTGATCAGCAGTTTCCTGTCTGTGTAATTTGTTTGCGTAACTGGCTTTATTAACAAGAGACTCATGAGCGTCTTTTAAAAAGCGCATCTTCAAAGGATTTTTACAAAAGAAAAATATAGTCCGGCGGACGAGTTATATTTATGATATAGCTTACCTTAAGCTCCATAGCATATCTAAAATTGGTATTCTAAGTGCAAGTTAGGAGCTCTGTTCGTGCTTTGGGGTAAGGTGTTCAGTTTAAATGGGTAAAATTCCTCCTTTTTAAAATTTTTTTTAAAACGTTTATTCAACTAAAGGACCCTAAAGAATTGTTTCATGGTTAGCTGTAGCTCGCACAGTTTGACTCATTAGCAAAATGTATTACAGTATAGACTATCACATTATTATATACCTGTGTAGTTGAATCGCTTAATCGAACATAGAGCGGGTGGCGGATTACTTAAAGTTAAATGGACGCCCATATTATCCCTCTTACATTTTATTTCGCTTGCCTCAAAAAATGAAGCCGGCGCAGACAAAAACCTTTTTTTTTTTACTCGGCCGAAGCGATAGGGGATAAGTAAGACAGTTGCAATGACACTGAACGCTAAGAAAAACAAACCTCGCGTAAATTACAACTCCACTGGGGAAAAAATCCCTGAGGAAAAATCAGAAGAAAATTCTTACCAAGGTAATACCAGAAAAAATATTTTTAATGTAGATCCCAGTGAAAGCCAGATATTTTTTCGCAAGGCTCACACAAGAAACTCAAAATTTTTTAGCTGCCTCTGGAGACTTTATATTGGCTCTGAGCCTGCGTATAGACGGGCATTTATGATTGGTATGTTATGATTTTCATGAGTCTATTCTATTCCAGCAAACAGGGTTTATGATGTGTAGCATTAAGTCCAAAGAAGAACTGACTATCTCCCGAAAAGATTTGTATGCTCTGCTGTACGATAAGCAAAAATCGGTCACACACAGGAACGAAGGTAAATATAATAATCCCTGGTAATTGAAAGCTGATTGAACGACAAGTGAAAGACGAGTCAGTTACTGATTTATCATCTGTGGTGAAAACCACAAACAAGATTAAAGCAAACTGGAAAAAACAGTTACCCGCCGGACGTTTCCAAGTAGTCATAAGGAAGTTTGGCCAGTTTTCGTGTACTAGTATAGTAACTTTAAGTAAGGCCAGGTCACTATTCAGCTTATTATAGGAAGATGATAGAAAGAGGGTTTCGGTAGATTTTAAGCATTAACTGAAAATCTGGCGACACAGCCTAATTAAGTTGTAACCTTAAACCACTATGCTAATGTTGTCAGTGAGTCACACAAAATTCTTAAGATGCTAAGTTTCATTAACTTGAGTACTTCGTTACTGATTATTTCGTTTTCTTTTATCCTTTAGGTTTTTCTTTCTGCGCCCAGACTTTACCACATGACCTCAGAATATTAACAGTAAAGACTCCAGGAAACTACGGCTACGGCGTTTTTTGTGGCCAGCTTACCATTAAAAAGGGCCTGCGCTTTGGTCCCTATACCGGACGTATTGTAAGCGTGGAAGAAGTAAACAGACGAAAGGCTTTTGAAAATGAATTCTTATGGGAGGTTTGTAATCTTAATAGTTCTTCATGGTTTTCAATTACTTTCAAATGACAAAGTCTTTCAGATAAAGATATGGTAAAACTGGTAGCAAAAACGTGTAATTTTTTTTGCGCATTTTACCCCCGACTGTCTTGCAACAAATCAGGTTGTTCCAAGTTGCGTCAATACTGACTTCTGATTGGATGAAATTACAGGGGAGTTACGCCATACACGGGAGTGACGTCACTTGCTGCAAAACAAGTTTACTTTGAGCCGGAAAAACGCACAACATGAATAGATTTTGTTTCAAAAAGTAGAACTACTCTCTTCTTTCTGCAAATCTCTTGGCAATCTACAACATCCTGATTTGCTGCAGGACAGGTTTAATTTGTGGGTGGTAAAACGCGCAGCATCGCTGCTCAACTCATTTTGCAACAATGTTACAAAGCAGATTGCATGTTTTTGTTGCCGTTTTACCTTGCATTAACTTTTCTTGGTAGATATACACTGATGGTCGTTTTGAATACTGCATCGATGGAGCGACAAACCGGACAAACTGGATGAAGTTTATTAACTGCGCACGCCATTCGGCCGAGCAAAACCTGGCCCTAGTACAACAGGATTCTTTATTGTACTACCAAGCGACGCGTGCGATAACAGAAGGACAAGAATTAAAGGTGTGGTATGGTGACCAGTATAGGCTTTTTATGGGGATACCACTCAGCATAAAGAACGGGTCGTCAGGTGAGTTATCATCCTCGGAGACCCAGGGGCAGTTAGTCGGGTCGATAAAATGTTCGTGGTGAAAGTTTTCTGTAAGATCGAGACGATCTTACAGAAAACCTAACTGCCCCTGGGTCTCCGAGGATGGTGAGTTATAAGCTGTTTATAAGCTGTCGTAGATGCCGTCACCTAAGGGACACAGTTCTCTTACAGACATTGCTTGGTCCATTTTTAATCCAAGGCGCATATAAACCTTGGACTGATGAAGTCGCGTAACTTGGCACTTTTTGTTCTTGTTGTAAGCTAAATGAACAGTTCCTTGATGAGTACATATCAAAGTAACACGCAGATCACTGGTATTTTTCCGGGATTTGTTTTTAACCGCTTAGTCGTTGTACGGTGTCTTCCCAGGCATTCTCGGTCATTGCATTTTGGGGTCGTCAAGACGAACTCATAAAAGATCACGTGACCCAAAAAGTATGGGAAGCGCGGGATAATTAAGCCCAGGGAAAAGACAATAACGGGCTTTGAAATTGCTCTTCTTTACCAATACTTAAATAGGTCAATGACCTATGACTAGTGCCATAACACACCCTTCCTAATAGCTGGAGGGACATCAATACAACGCCTAAAAAGGTGTCCATTGTAGCTTTAGTTGACTAAGTAATATTTAAGGATTTAAACTCAACCCAGTGAATTGTTTTCGACAAGAATATATCGTATTTGTACCTGAGTACGCAAAATGGTAGGGATCAACGTCTACCAGTGCAGTTCAAGTACTGTAAAATGCCTTCGTAATGTTTGTACCAACTTGCGCCCAAGATTGCTTACATTGGAGTCGCAGATTTTCACCTCGTATAACTGATGTTTCCTTTGCTTTGTCTTCAAGAATTCTTTTCTCTTTTTGTAGATGACGATTCTAGCTATCCTTGTCAGTCCTGTGGAAAAGTGTTCGCCTACAAGTACTACCTTGTTCGCCACCAGAAATACACGCGCTGCGTTGACTACGGAGACCGGAAGTTCCCCTGCAAAGTTTGTAACCGCTCATTTGATAAGGGAGACCGCTTACGTATTCACATCCTTCATGTGCACGATAACTACCGACCTCACCAATGCACGGTGTGCGAGAAAACTTTTTCCCAGTCATCTAGCCTCAACAAACACCTACGAGTGCACAGCGGTGACAGACCGTACAAGTGTCCTTACTGCGTCAAAGGCTTCACGGCCTCCTCTATTTTGCGCACTCACATTCGTCAGCATAGCGGAGAAAAGCCGTTTAAATGTAGACATTGCGGGCGCGCTTTCGCCTCACACGCGGCGCATGATAGTCACGTGCGACGCAATCACCGTTAGTCAAACGTCATTTGCTAACCTGTTGTACAATTGTGTAGTTCGGGCGAGTAAGCACTCAGTATCTTTGATCACGAGGGCACAGAGGAAGATTGGGAAGAATAGAAATTGTAATTAATGGGGAGTTCACGAAGCTGAAAAGGGGCGGGGGGGGGGGGGGGAGGAAAACAGAAAAAAGTTCCCCTTTTTTTCCTTTTCTTGTCATTCCTTTTTTACCACTTCCCTTTTTTTTTTATTTTATCCCCTTTTCTCCCAATTTAAACCCAAAGTCCCTTTTTCAAGCACGTGTCGCATCTCTATTTGCAGTAACATAAGACTGTTGTTAATGGGGGGGTGTTGCGGGAGAACACACAACCATATTAAAAATAAAAGGGGAAAGGGGAGAAGTTGGAAAGATAAGGAAGGTATGAAGAGGAAGAGATGCGGGGTGCGAAGGGGGGGGGGCGGGGGGGGGTGAGGAAAACAGAAAAAAGTTTCCCTTTTTTTCCTTTTCATGTCGATACCTTTTTACCCTCTCCCTTTTATTCTTAATTCATTCCACTTTCAGCCAAATTCAACCGCAATGCCCTATTAAGTAGCTCACTAAATTATCAGGGTCGATCAATAGCCATTGTCTCATGGATAATAAAAAACATTCACTGAAACCTGTTTCTAGAGACAAAGAAACGCAAAGGCTAAAAATATACAATGAATTGCATTTGATGTTGTATTGCACTTTTTCCGTTTACGAACACACGGCAGGACTTCGTGTTCAATGTACCTGGCGTTAAACTTTTTTTAACGTGAATGCGCCTTTCTAAAACCCTTTCCCCTAAGCAACCTGTTCTGTTTTGCTTGCTGTTAATTGTGTAGTAGAAAGCAAAACTACTTTAGAAGGTAAGCTGAGCGCCTTCTTGATATTTGAGAAAGAGTTGCACCGAAAATTATGCCCTGCTTAAGTTTAACAATGCTATTTGGGTCTTTTAAAATATCGTCAATCTTTGTTCATTCAGATCCTTTATTATCTTACGTTTCTCCCGACTGAGCCTTATGTCGGTCCAGGTTTTTATGTTGGCCTCTAGCGTGCGCAAAAAGAGTAAAAAGCACTGGCAAACTGGATTTATCCAAACAAGACTCATTTTAATAATACCCTTTCATTCTTTACTTGATGTTATATGTAGTTTTTGCTCATACGAACCTATGATCACTTCAAGCCCTAGTAAAAGCTACATTATCTACGACAGGAGCATAAACTAAAATGGACTTTATTCATTTAGTTCCGTCTGTGTTATTGACGCCACCTGCGCGAGATCTTTCTGTTACAGCTGCAGAGGCCAATGATTTTTCACTTTAATTAGTTTTCCCTTAGGTGTCATAATAACTTTTAAGTCGTTTCCAATTTTTGTATCAATTTAGTGAGGTTTGCAATTTTGATTCGCAAGTGTTTTACTATGGCATATCACTTGAACACACTTCAGCTTCTTCTTGGTGTAACCGTCTAGTGTGTCAGCAATCCGCTTAAAATCTATCAGGTCCATGTGAATATCTTCGTTGAAAGGTCCAACGCTAAGATGAGAAATATCGCGCAAAAGGCTGTAGAAGTTTATCAGCTTGTTCACGGAAATATTTCACCAGAAAACGAAATTCACTTAAATTTGAGATCGCTTCTTCAATAAAATTGCAACACCACGGCAAGGTTGTGTTCGGCTACCTTTGTTCAGTTTTCAAGTCTCGAGATTTATTTGTCATCGTTAACGGAAAGATCAAATATCGCAACAAATTTCAGTGACCGATGTCGTTGTAGGGAAAAGGCCTTTAGCGTTGGCTGTAATTTAGTTCACGGCCTCCGAGGGTGAAAGATGGTACTAACTTTTGATTTTAATTGCCCCCGCAGGGATTTCACCCAGACGGCGAAATCCCGAGGAGGCACTCCAGTAACTCGCGCGTATATTTACTAGTAAGGAAAGTACTTACAGTTGGAATATACAGTCAAAATCTCGATTAGCTTGAACAGGGGCCGCGAGGAATCGGTGGGTAATGATGACGTTACTATTGTTCGTGCCCGCCAGGGCCCGCTTAGGTAGATTTTGTGACATTTATTGTACAGTCATACTTCAATACTCTTGTGCGTTACGTGTTATCAGTGACATTTTGTGGAGCAGTTGTTTTGAAAGTTATGGACCAAAAGACACTCGTTAAGCGCAGATGTAGTTATAAGGTGCGTATAACTGTGTATATATAAATACTTGGAGAGTTTGCTAGACACGAGTTCACAAATCTTTGATTGGAAAGACACTCTTTCTCTCTCTTTGACCGGATACGACTCAGCCCCCAACAAGCAAGACGAGTGAATCAACGGCTAGCTTATCACTAGCAAAACGATGGACGATTACAGAAATTCGCCGACAATTAAATTTTGTGCTGACTTATTCCCTGCTCACAGATGTCCTTCCGCTATAAAGTTTAATATAAGACTAGAATGCGCGAACGTGAAATGATCAAATTCCTTTTAATTGCTAAGGCTTACTTTCCGGCAAATAAAATGAACTGTATGTAAAAAGTGAAAGAGAAATAGCGAAAAATTCAACTTCTTATTAAATCTTTTCTTATGGCTGGTTTAGAATAAACTATTCTCGAAACTGAGAATGTTTTGAGCAAAGCTGTGTAAATCGAACTGAAACCGTGCATGGAACTCCTGTTTTTATCTCACCCATTGTATGGAATATGTGTGAAAATCTTCATTATGAATCGGTATATTTCAAAGAGCTACACAACGACCAAGAATTCTATTGACCGAAAATATACACAGCGGGGGCAGCTGTAGTGTCAACTATTACTGGTGGTAAAATCCTATGGTGTGACCAATTTTCAAATGAAACCTCTTCAGCAGTACTTTCACATGGTACTATATTTGGTATGTAGTTATAACTTTTGAGTCTGTGGATGAAATCCTATGGTGTTACCATTCAAATGAAATCTCTCCAGCAGTACTTTCACGTGGTACTATTTATTCAGTATGTAGTTCTAACTTTTGAGTTTGTGGATGAAATCCTGTGGTGTTACCATTCAACTGAAACACATTTAGCACTACTTTCACACAGTTGACTATGTTTTTCAGTATTTTACAAAATGAAATTTGGAAATTTTGTTGAATTTTGACTTTGACCACTTTTGGGAGTGAAAGGGTTAACTTGGAAATACAACACACATAACACTCTTGTTAGGAGAAAACAATTGCAGCGATTAAAAAGCCTCCACGATTCAACTTGCTCAACTGAAACAACGAGAGCATGTAATTAGCCAATTTCGTGACAGTGTATCGGAAATCGGCTTTATTCTAACACATGATGACCGAATTGAGAAAAAAATATGTACAGGCTTTTTAGAAAGTAACTTCAATACGTGTTTTGTGAGGTTGTTCCTAGCAATTTACATGTATAAAAAACACATCCTGAAATCACTTTAACTCGAGGATTTGCATGTACTTTCCAAAGTTTGACGTCTTACTTTTATAGAAGTGTTTACTGAAGCCAGAGACAGAAAGTTAGAACTTCCTTGCTTTCAAAGTATGAGGAACAGTTGTGGTGACCATTCATCTCAAATAATTTCTTCTTGACCTACTTGAAAGCGGTCCAAGAATATAATTTCCTTTCAAACTTTGCCTATTTAAAGATATGGGGACTATGTACTTCGAAATTTAGAAGTTTTGTCATACAGTAATGTCTGACATAAATTTGGGATAAACGAAATTGTTGTAGACTACGAGTAGTAGTAGTAGAAAAGGCGCCTTTTCTCGCGTGGGGTGATTTTCACGCGCGCTCGCGTTTCGCTCGCCCTTCTATCCCTGAGGAAAAATGGGGGACTACTCGTAGTCTAAAATTGTTGAAAAAAAGAAAGAAAGGACAGTACGCTACTGTTGCCATGGTTACTACTGGGTGAAAAAGAAACTAACAGATAATGTAAAATAGATAACATCCGAATAGATCAGAGTCCTCTTTACGATCGAGCTATATACTTCTCCGGGTTTTTGTGCGTGGTTGGAAAACACCCAGTGACGTCCAATGTGAAATAAGGTCTAAAATCAAAGCTACACGTTTATAAAACAATTTTACTCCTTTTGAAATTTATTGCAAACTGTTGCTGATCTGATAACGGACATACACATTATAAGGGAACTTTACCTCAAGGATCGCAAGACTCGGTAATTGCAAACGGTACACAAAAGGGGGTACTGCAACATTTTATCACTAACTGATAGCAACACCAGGTCACTATTACTGGATTTCCACCGATACAAACACTGTTGAATTATCATGTAGTGCTACAATTTGGTGACACCTTTTCACCGTCATTTGCATATTTTCAAGTGCTTTGTTTTCTCTTCTTGATCTATTTCATGGCTTTTTGCTTTTAATCAATACTCATGTGTCTCTCGCGTTTTTTCCAATCGCGCATTAGGCTAGGTGTTCTTGAAAATACTAGAAACATTGTCTTCGCAGGTTGGAGTAAAAATAACAGTGCATCATATGTGTTTAGCTTACAAAAGGCCAGAAATACAACATCCATAACACTCTCGCCCGGAGAAAACAATTGCAGTAATTAAAAAGTTTCCGCGATTCAACTTTCTCAAACAACGGGAGCAAGGAACAGTATTTTTAATTAGCCAATTTCGTCAGGGTGTGGCGGAAATCCTTTATTTTAACGCATGACGACCGATTTAGAAAAAAAATGTACAGGCTTTTTAGAGATACCTTGTTTATAGTAACTTGGTATGATGTGTATTTTGTGAGCTTGTTACAAAATTTTCATGAATGAAAACGACATCCTGAAATTGCTTTAACTCGAGGAGTTGCATGTACTTCCCAAAGTTTGTGATATTTTCATAGAAGTGTTTACTGAAGTTAGACACAGTCATAACTTCCTTGCTTTCAAGGTATGCAAAAAATTTGTGATTACTAAATGCAACTCAGATCATTGTTTCTTGACCAACTTGAAAGCGGCCCTTTAATTTTCTTTTCAAAGAAATTGTTTTAAAGAAAGGACAAGATGCTGAGCAACTGGAAAATCTCATCATACATTGTGGGAGTTGCACATGTGGACAATGACTACATCACTTTCATTTGTCATTTCTTTAAACGCGGATTCGAGTTCGGTGCCATTTTCCCAGCTTCTTAATACCCAAACTGTGTGTAAAATATCCCATTTTATACTCAATTATTTCGCCCGCAAGTACTAAATAAATAGTACCATGTGAAAGTACTGCTGAAGAGGTTTCATTTGAATGGTAACACCATAGGATTTCATCCACAGACTCAAAAGTTAGAACTACATACTAAATAAATAGTACTATCTGAAAGTACTGCTGAAGAGGTTTCATTTGAATGGTAACAACACAGGATTTTGTCCTCAGAATGAAAAGTTAGAACCACCTTAGGAGACTCCATTATCACTGTGGGAGTAAAAGGGTTAATCACATGATATGTACTGTTATTTTCACTCCAACGTGCGAAGACCATGCTTCGAGGGTTTTCAAGAATATGTAGTCTTGCACGATTGGAAAAACGTGTCACCAAAATGTAGCGCTACATTAGAATTCAACGGTGTTTGTATCAAACGGTGTTTGTATTATTGAATCCAATGAACTTGTATCTTTGATTTTGGACCTAATTTAATTGGACATCATTTTTTGTTGTTTCTTTGTTTGTTTGTTTGTTCTTGAATTTTTTTTTTTTTTTCTACTACGCACAAAGACCCGGACAGGTAGCTCGTGCAGGGTATTGATACTGGACTCTGATCTCTTGGATCCTTCATTTTCAACCCGTTGTAACCATGGCAACAGTAGCCTATAGTCCTTTCTTTCAAACAATTTCGTTTATCAAATTCACGTCAGACACCATTGTCAATTCTATTTATCTACTTACGATAAACACCTGACAAACCGATTTGGAGGCCTGCTGATTGTCTTAAACCGCGGACTAAGTTAAGCTTCCTTTAAATAACCGGTCTAATGCTTTGAGTTGAATTTGGGCACCTCAAATTTTCCTCATACCTTGAAAGCAAGGAAGTTATAACTTACTGTCTCTAACTTCACCAAACACTTAAATAAAAATAACACAAATTTTGGGAGTACATGCATGTAACTCCTCGAGTTAATTAAGCGATTCCAAAATGTCTTTTTATACATGTTAATTGTTGTAACAAGCGCACAAATAAGTATTATACTAAGTTACTTTGGCAAGATACCTCTAAAAAGCCTTTGCATAGTTCTTAAATCGGTCCTCAAGCGTTAGAATAAAGGATTTCCGCTACACCCTGAGGCAATTGGCTAATTAAAAATATTGTTCCATACTCAAGCTTTTTGAGAAAGTTGAATCAAGGAAACTTCTTATCGCTGCTTTGAGTGTTATGTGTGTTGTATTTCTGGCCTTTTCCAAGCTAATTACGTATGATGTATTGTTATTTTCACTTCAACCTGGGAAGACAATGTTTCGGGGTTTTTGAAGAATACGCCTTGCACAATTGGAAAGAAACAGATTCACATAAGAGTTAGTATTGATTGAACGCAGAAAGCCATGAAATCGATCGAGAGAAGGAAGCAAAACACTTGAAAATGACAAATGACGACCAAAAAGTTTCGCAAAATGTACCACTATATGAGAATTCAACACTGTTTGTACCCGGCACTAACATTTTGGCTAAGAACGGTTGGGAAGAAGATAGACTGGCACTTGAAAATGTTGGGCAAGCGTTTGCACAATGTATGTTATTTGGTAAATGTCGTTCATTGGATTATTCTGCCCGACCTTGATGGATGAATTATAATGTCTTCTATAGGTTGCTAAAAAAAATCACTGCGCGCCTTTTTGGCCTCTCTCTTTTGCACCTTTAAAACTCTCAGTCTTTTAAAGACCCCCAATAATATTTAGTTTTTCATAAACAAGGATATTTTGGGCGTTTTGAATTTGCGTCCACTGAGTAAACTGAACGATGAAGGCTAAGTTTCTAAAGAAACTATGGTGCTGCTTCAATGCGGGAGTCAAATACGGCTAAAAAACTCAGCTAACTGAATTCCATTTGCCTCCATACACTCATTGTCAGATCAAATCGATTTGGTGACTGTGGCAAGCGGCTAGCGCACGAAACGCCAGCTTTTAAACGTGGGCTTTTAGTGCTCAACTAAACTTTGGCGCGTTCTGACGATTTTTGCCCACGATTACAGCTCAGTTCTTCATAAAGGCACTGATGGGGAGAGGTAGCGAAATGGGGCTGTTTCGATCTCCTTCCTCTTTCTCTTGTAACTTTTCCTTTTCGCCCAGTGAAGCGTAGTTGTATTTTCCTACTTATTTCATGTTATACTGAAATATGGGCGATAAGCAATGGTTCTTGAGAATAAATTGTGAAATTATTTTAAAACCATAGGGGAACTGGGGAGTAAATAACGAATTAGTGTCTTCAAACCATGAGATATATGAACACAAAAACGAGCAGAATTGTTTACACACACTTTTATTCACTCACTATCGTGCTCGACTTGAGTAGCTTATAAGTACACCGAAGTCTTTAGTCTTCTCTTGGCTGTTCACAAAATGACCGAAAACAACTAGAGAGTATTACTTAAAATTAGTAGTCACAACAATTACCAATTATTGACCGAAGTGGAGGTAAATATCCACCACTTTCATCGACTCTAAGGTGAATAATTGTTTTAGTACATACCGACACAAGATCATGATCAATAACTCGCGGATCAAAACATTTCCACTGCGGAAACCGAAGCCAAACGGAAAGCCATTTTGTTACTCTTCGACTGCTCGGAGGTGAATAATAACAAATGGTGTTATTTATATTTCCGTGAATCAATCGAGATGATTTTCAAATGCTCCTCAGTTTTAACATCACTCATATTAAAAAAAAGGAAATTAAGGTAAAAATGTAAAGCGGCGTATCAAAGCCTAATATTATCACACTTACAAGGAAAATAGTAATATAGTTGTATAATCTGTTAGACTGCACACGTTGAGCTCATTTTTAGAGCACTGGGTACTAATATGTAAGCTTTCACATGAATAAATCACTCGGAATATTAAATGAAGAAACGGTTTTGACTAGCGGAAGTCATTTTCAGATCGCGTCATAGTGAGTACTTTTAGTGAGTTAATTGTATAAAACTCAAAAAGTTATTGACCTGATTTCTTGTGGCAAATGGTAAAAATAACGAGCTCATTTCACTCTTAGGCTAATGATATTTGTCATAGAGTTTATTTCCAGTAAGTAACGGCTGATAGCCATTCTCATAAGGCAAGAAATTAAACTGTACAAGCACACACCAACTGTGACGGGCACAGAGTACCACTGGTGGGACTCTTCCTTAAAGTAAAAAACACAGATCATAGTTACATTTTCTATCACGAATAAGATATTAGAAATCAATGTCATTATCTTATCGACTTTAGCATTTGAATTTTCATCATCTCTTATCCAGTAGAATATACATAACATTGTGAGGACACCACAGTTATTTTCAAAGCCCGGGGGCATCTGAGTAGTACGGGCAGCGTAGACTCTGACAAAAGTCATGACAATAGAGTGAAAAATCAACACCGCGATAATCCACCACTTGAAGCCGACAGTGAAGAAAGTGATGGCGAGTAATCGGCTACTGAGGTGAAACAGCTGTGATATGAAGAAGACAACTTTTGGTATGAATTTGCCTTGTAAAGTTTTCCTGGCTTCCTCCACAAGAACATTCGAAAAACGCCACACATCGGCAATGGCAGATTCCCACGCTAAACTTAAAAAAGAAACACACAAGGACGTTATTTGGATAGTTGTAACTTGTTCCTGTTGGACAACTGTAGCATATAGCTGGATTATGAACTGGGGAGCTGACTCCAGGCTTGCCTGAAAACTTGCGGATGCAAAGTCGGTAGACAGTTGATGCTGGATTTTTTTATTACAGTCGTCTTCTAAATTTTCTTTCCATAACTTCTTAAAATTCTTGAAGCATAAAATAAATGCTTTAAGTCGCATATAAGCAAGCGCCAATGGATTCCACCCGAAAGTTAAATCTGGAATTAAGTCGATGCATTTTACATCATCTGATTCCTCATTTGTCAGCATCCCACGCCGCCAAATACAGTAGTAAAACTGTGACATGCTCAAACACGGTAAAATAAGGAACACAAGCCCCACACCAAACCATGTCTTGTGATCATTGAGGTAAAATTCCCTCAGAGTGAGTATATCAGTGACTGGATCAGCAACAGCTAAAATAGTGCCGATAAGGAGAAAAATAGTGTCATACCATTTAACTTTGATTGCAGAGGTATTAAAGCTTACAGCATCATCTACAACGTCTGGCATGATGTCTCAGCTAGCCTTTCCGTACAAGCGAAGTCCTGATATTTTCGATCGAGATGTTGTATCTTTGGCCTTCGTACAGTATATTATCGATGGTTTAGGTCCCACAAAATTTTATAGGAGGCCAGGGATGTATCCTTTGACGTCATTTGTCTTCAGTTTCTTTCATTGGGCTTTTGTGCATCGGTGAGGTAACCATAGCTACATTATCAATGCTACCTTATTTTAATTGGGAAAACAATGCCATGAAATTCAAAACTAGTTACGGGACTTAGTGTCGAACTTAGTGACGGGAAGTTCTAACTTTTAAAGTGCTTATTTCCGGCTTAAGGCAGCGAATTTTTTAAAGAAATTCTTAACAGCTAATTCCCTCAAGAAGGCAGTTAAAACAAACCGTTTTCGTAATTAGCTATCTGTTTGTAGCAAAACCTTTACGCCATATCATTTCCATTTTCTTTTATTATTATTATTATTATTATTATTTTAATTTTTTTTCCAGCAGCGTCTCACAAAATTGCTGAAAGCTGTCGTTGTTTGAAAAAGTTGAATCCGGGAAACTTCTTCGTCAAAGCAAAGAACTTTTTTTCACATATTTAACTCCAGCCTGCGAAGAATTGTGTTATGAACATGTAGCTTTGATTTTAGACCTTATTTCACATTGGACATCATTGGGTTTTTTCCAACCACGCACAAAAAGCCGGAGAAGTATATTGCTCGATCGTAAAGAGGACTCTGATCTATTTGATGTTATCAAACCATTTAATTATCTGTTAGTGTCTTTTTCACTAAGTAGTAACTATAGGAACAGTAAGCTTTTGTCCTTTCTTTCTTTCAACAATTTCGTTTGTCCCAAATTTATGTTAGTCACAACTGTATGACAAAACTTCTAAATTTCGAAGTGCTTAGGTATATCTTTAAATAGGCAAAGTTTAAACTGGAAATTAAATTCTAGGACCGCTTTCAAGTAGGTCAGGAAGCAATTATTTGAGTTGAATTTGCTCATCGCAAATTTTCCTCATACCTTGAAAGCAAGGAAGTTATGCTGAACTTTAGCTAACTTCAGCAAACACTTCTATGGAAATATCACAAACTTTGGGAAGTACATGCAACTCCTCGAGTTAAAATGATTTTAGGCCAGAGCCATTTTGGCTCTTGTTTTAGGATATCTTTTTTATATAAATTATGTCAATCGCTAGCTGTAACAAGCTCATAAAATTAAATACGTATCGAGTTACTTTAATTATTAAAGAAAGATCTTTCTAAAAAGCCTGTATATATTTTCTCCTAAATTGGTCATCATGCGTTAGAATAAAGGATTTCCGCCACACCCTGACGAAATTGGCTAATTAAAAATATTGTTCCTTCTCGCGTTGTTTGAGAAAGTTGAATCGCGGAAACTTTTTAATTACTGCAATTGTTTTCTCCGGGCGAGAGTGTTACGAGTGTTGTATTTCTGGCCTTTTCTAAGCTAATCACATATGATGTACTGTTATTTTTCCCAACCTGCGAAGACAATGTTTCTAGTATTTTCAAGAACACCTGGCCTAATGCGCGATTGGAAAAAACGCGAGAGACACATGAGTATTGATTAAACGCAAAAAGCCATGAAATAGATCAAGAAAAGAAAAACAAAACACTTGAGAAAATGCAAATGATCGCCAAAGTAAGAGAGGTGGAGGAGTGTGCACTTAGATACGGCAAAGTTTTAAGGCTGAGGTTGTCGGCAAAATTTCTGGAATATCGGACACTGGTCTCCATCAGCTTTGGATAAAAGTTCAAGTGTGGAATTTAAAGTCGTTTCTTATTTGCACGACCTACCGGCCTTCACTCCTCTCGACATCGATCTCGGTGCGAGCTTAATAACTGCATCCCTTCTGAATAAATTAATCTATTACTTGAGGATATGAACTGTAACCTGCTCCTGTCTGACCCTCCTGATTCTAAAGCACTTATGAACTTCTGCCTTACATACAATTTAAACCAAATAACTGACTCAGCCAACTCGTGTAACGGATTCCACGATATCTCTAATTGATATAATCCAAGTTTCAAGCACGAAGCAAATCATCGAGTCTAAAGTCCTATCGTCATCAAGCACACGTTAGCTCGCTTGTCCGCCGGTACTAACCAGTGTCTGAAAAATTCTTTTTTTGATGCTAATGTAGATATCAAGCAAGTAGAAAAGATTATCAAATCTATGGCACCTAATAAGCCTCCTGGAATAGATAAAATCCCACAACGCGTTATTAAAGACTGTATAAAACCGCCGCAGGGCAAAGAACCATCTATTTGAGAACAGTTAAACTTTGGAACTCACTGAACCCTCTCCTAAAGCTGAAACGCTGAAACCGACTTTAGAGGACTTCAAGAGTTGCCTGAAGAAAAACTTAACGTTAAATTTTTTGGAGTCGTTTTAAGACTTTCATTTTTTTTTCGCTCAATTTTTACTCAATTGTCAGTGTACAGTATGTGGTCCTTGGTTCGGACGAAAAAGACGTAAATGAGTATTTCTTATCTCAGAAGAGGGGTAGTGAGCTGAAATTTGTCCTGTTAGTTGCCGTAACATTTTACTAACTTGTGACAAACCGACAGCTTCTGAGCTTTGCCAAAAATCCTGGATCATAGAAAATAACCTCTGCATTTGAAGGTCCCTGGTCCGGCCAAAGGTTCCTTGGTCCGGCCACTTTGTAAGTCGGCATGCAAATAAGGGAGACCGCTTGAGCATTCACATCCTTCATGTGCATGATAACTACCGACCTCACCAATGCACGGTGTGAGAGAAAACTTTTTCTCAGTCATCTAGCCTAAACAAACACCTACGAGTGCACAGCGGTGACAGACCGTACAAGTGTCCTTACTGTGTCAAAGGCTTCACGGCCTCCTCTATTTTGCGCACTCACATTCGTCAGCATAGCGGAGAAAAGCCGTTTAAATGTAGACATTGCGGGCGCGCTTTCGCCTCACACGCGGCACATGATAGTCACGTGCGACGCAATCACCGTTAGTCAAACCTCATTTGCTAACCTGGCCCGGGTTGCTCGAAGCATGGTTAGTGCTAACCAGCGTTAAATACCATGGAAACCTATACATTTTGATACCTCTTAACCAACGCTTAGCGCTAACCAGGCTTCGAGCAACCGGCCCCTGCTGTACAATTGTGTAGTTTGGACGAGTAAGCACCGCCCAGTATCTTTGATCTTAAAGGCACAGAGGAAGATTGGGAAGAATAGAAATGTGATTAATAGGGCGTATACGAAGCTCAAAAGGGAGAGGGGGAGTGAGGGAAACAGAAAAAAGTGTCCCCTTTTTTCCTTTTCATGTCTATACCTTTCCCTTTATTTCTTAATTCATTCCATTTTCACCTAAATTCAACCGCAATGCCCTATTAAGTAGCGCACTAAATCATCAGTGTCAATCAATAGCCATTGTCTCTGGGATATAAAAAAATGTTACTTCTTATGATATGGAGTTTTCACTATAAATGTCTGATTAAAAATTCAAAACATTGACGCACTGAAACCTATCTCTAGAGACAAAGAAACGTAAAGGCTAAAAATACACAGTGAAATGCACTTGATGTTCGCATTGCACTTTTTCTGTTTACGAACACAGGACGTCGAGTTCAATGCACCTGGCTTTAAACTTTTTTAACGTGAATAAGCCTTTTTAAAACCCTTTCCTCTCTAAGCAATTTGTCCTGTTTTGCTTGCTGTTAATTGTGCAGTAGAAAACAAATTCAAAGTAGACTGACAGCTTTCTTGAATTTGAGAAAGAGTTGCACCAAAAACTGAAGTCTATGCCCTGCTTAAGTTTAACAATACTATTTGGGTCTATTAAAATATCGTCAATCTTTGTTCATTCAGATCCTTTATTATCTTACGTTTCTCCCGACTGACCCTTATGTCGGTCCAGGTTTGCGACGTATTGATGTTCCGTTTCTTGGAGTGAAACAATTATGTTGGCCTCTACGGTGCTCAAAAAGAGCAAAAACCACTTGCAAACTGGTTTTATCCAAACAAGATTCATTTAAAATATTCTCTTTTGTTCTTTACTTGAAGTTATATACATGTTTTTGCTCATATGAACATATGATCACTTCAAGGCGTATTTTAGCTACGTTATCTATGTCAGACGTATAAACTCGGCTAAAATGTACTTTATTCATTCTGTTATTGACACCACCTGCGCGGGATATTTCTATTACAGCTGCAGAAGCCAATGAAATCTCTTCACTTGCCACACGCGTCATCAGATTCTTTACTTTAATTAATTTTCCCGTAGGTGTCATAATAAGTTTAAAGTCGTTTCCAATTTTTGTATCAATTTAGTGAGGTTTGCAATTTTGATTCGCAACTGTTTTACTATGGCATATCGCTTAAACATACTTCAGCTTCTTCTTGGTGTAACCGTGTTGTGTGTCAGCAATCCGCTTAGAATCTATCACGTCCATGTGAATATCTTCGTTGAAAGGTCCAACGCTGAGATAAAAAACATCGCGCAAAAGGCTATAGAATTTTATCATCTTGATCACGTGAATATTTCACCGGAAAACAAAATTCGCTTAAATTTGAGTCTTGTAACGTACGACAAAGTTATAAGCAGAATCACGAACCTGGATGATGATCGCTTCTTCAATTGCAACATCAGGACAACGTTGTGTGCGGCTATCTTTGTTCAGTTTTCAAGCCACGAGATTTTTTTGTCCTCGTTAATGGAAAGGTTAAATATTATTTCTGTGGGATTGTTTCAGACGAGCGGAAATCCTTTGAGTCAGGTAAGGTCACCAGCCTTATGTATTCATGTTTTTCAGGCTGCACAGAAATGAAGCAAAGACCTCATTGAGTTGTTTTTGCCTCTACATTATGAGTATCTCACCTAAAATGCGCGGTACCGCTGTAAGAGGATTTCAATACATTTTTTCAGTTCTCCCAGTCCAATGTAGTCGCACCCGGAGTCGCACCTCCCTAAGGCGACCACTATGCCAGTAGGACCGCGCGGAAGAGGTGGCTTTTCAGTGGGTAAGAAGGGTGTAAGGTGATACCAATTTGTGGAAAGGGTACACCATTTTAAGATTTTGCAAATGCTTATCATAGCAAATAAATGGATGTAAAACAGAAACCAAAAGTGTCAGAACAAAAATGTTGACAAAAAGACTCTACAAACTAAGGTACAGTGAGTGCACTAGTTTATACATCGTCCTCTTTCAAACGGCCCTTTCGGAGAAGATTTCCGTGTAATTTGGGAAAAGGCCTTTAGTAAAGGTCGGCTGTAATTTAGTTCCCTCCCAGAGTGAAGGATGGTTCTACCGTTTGAATGACCATTCAAATGAAACCTCTTCAGCAGTACTTTCACATGGTACTATATTTAGTATATAGCCCTGAGTCTATGGATCAAATACTATGGTGTGACCGTTCAACTGAAAACTCGGCAGTACATTTACTTAAACGAAGAATTGTTTGTTTTTCAGTATTTTACCATATAAAATTTGCATTTTTTTTTTCCAGTGTTGACTTTGGTCACTTCTGGGAGTGAATTGTCTAGAGTATACGCACTGCAAAAATTATAAGAGTACTGTTTACCTTTATCAAATGGAATAGAGGCGTGTCTATTTTTATTGTTATAAAAAAAAACCTGTCAAAAAGCTCAAAACACTATTTTTGTTATGAATTAATAAATTTCTGCACTTTCTCCGCATTCTTTCTCGAGTACGATGGTTACTTAGAAATCAACTCAAATCTTCCAACAGTCTTCGAAAATTCTTGCTCATGAGAGAATAATTAAAAACTCATTGCCAAAGGAAACGCTAAATACTTTGAGATTACTTATGGGTTATGATTGAGTTGAACATGATTTGAAGCAAATTTGTTGAGTGCGTGCATCAAGGGCTTTCCTCGAAAAAACAGCGGCAATCCTCAGGCTATGTAACATCTGTCACTGGCTTCTCCATTTGTGATGAGCGCAGTATTTTGTTCCAGATAAGCCTACATAATATTCAGTTACGAATAAACTTCAATTCTGAAGTGAAGTGCTGTTTGCCTGTATTAATGCTTGCTTTTCGCAAATGGTAAATTATGACGTTGTGACAGTCTATAATATATTTTCATCCGCTTGGTAAAAAACAATGCCGCAGAACATTCGAAAAAAGTAAAAAGATTATGAAAAATCTCCCCTTGTTATCAAACTCGATAAAACGTCTCTTTTTTATTGTTTTCAGCAAAAAAGAGCAAAACAGCAACTAATTTAAGCCCAACGAGACAATAACAAAAACAGTACTAGATCAAAGATATTCGCTAATTTTTAACAATTTACGATCGCGTTTTTTTTTCTATTCACCTCTTGACATTGCGCTACGAGTTTAGTCTACAGAAAAGAGAAAATCGTGACTGTGTCATTTTGGACATTTAGATCGGCTGCACTTTAAAAGGTTTTCCTTCTTTATTTTGAATTCATGATTTTAGAGTTAATATTTAAATGCAAATGTCGTGTTGAATTCTATTGTACAATCAAAACAGTAAGCAGGAAGTTTAAGTCCTTTGTTGACGTATTTTATCCAACTACAATGGTTTCTTATTAACCGAATACTGGAAAAAGCTGCATCCGTAATGCCCCGGCCTGTAATGTCTATTTTAATAAAGCTTAGTAACGACTGAAAACAGGTGCACCGGGGTTTTTTAGCCATGGCGTAATGTACTGACGTCAATTAGCCGTTGTAGTGAGAGTTTCGAACACTTCCACCTTAATTATTGGAAGCATAATGCAGTGAATTAATATTGGAAACGTAATACAGTGACATCAATTAGCTTTTATGGTGAGAGTTTTGATTAATGACACCTTATAAATATTGGAAACTTAATGCAATGACTTCAATCAGCGGTTATGGTGAAAGTTTTGAGAACTATCACATTATAAATATTGAAAACTTGGTCACGAAAAGGAGACAAAATTGCAAAACAACTGCGCAACGATGGACGAAAGCGGCGTATCTACAGTTAACATTTAAACTGATGGAGTATGGGGTTCGCTGCGTTTGCGAAAAGATAAGGCATGGCGAGTAGTTATGGTACAGTAAACTCTCTAAGACGGACACTTTTGGGAATCGCAGCACCACGGAGAGGTGTTCTCGCCTTGTAGAGAGACAGGGAAAAGACTGCAGGGACTCTCTCCTCCGCAGAGGTTCCCGCTGGCATCCCAATAAAAATAGCAATAATCGAAAAATAGAAAGCGCTTCTTCTCTTTCTCTTTCCCATCGTCCCATCATCCCATCGTGCGCTTTCCTTTTTTCTTCTCCACGTCCTCCCTATGATACAAAGAGTCGTCTGCTGAGAAGAGAGCTGCAGGGAACGACACTTGGCCGCCATTATTCAGAAATTTCCGTCCTTTGGACTTATCCGTTTAAGAGAAATTTGATTATACTCTTTTTCTTTTGAAAACTACAGGAAAGTCCCGTTGGCTTCACAAGAACAGCTTCACCGTCAATGAAGCACTACGCAAGCGTTATAAAGGACTTAATGAACAAAATGGGATGGCGCACACTTAGCCTAGTATTATCCGCTGACTACGAAGGCACGGTACTTGCAGGCGAAATAATTGAGTACTCGAAGAAGGTAAAATGGGATATTTTACACACAGTTTGGGTACTAAGAAGCTGGGAAAATGGTACCGAACTCGAATCCGCGTTTAATGAAATTATGACAAGTGAAAGTGACGTAGTTATTGTCCAGCTATACGACTCCCACAATGTTGAGATATTCCAGTTGCTTGGAAACCTGGGCGTCAAAAAAACCCGATCCTCTTGGCTGCTGACGAACATTTCTACCTTTGGGGTCTCAATAATGAACCTTCCTGCTGGATTTGTGAGAATATCTCCTGGGGCTTCTCCTAACCATGATTATATGGTGCATGCGCTGTACGACGCCGTTAGCCTGATTGCTTTGTCAGCAGCAAGAGCGGTAGAGACGTCTGCTAACAACAAGACAACGTATCAGTCCATTAGTAATTATTCTAACGCCTTGCAGAGTTCATTTAAGCGGTAAGTTATCTCTCTTAACAAAACACTTTCTTCATTGCTTCAAGAGTGTTATATTTTTATCTTTTGTTCGCACTCACGAGAAGAGTAGTCACTCTACTGATGTGTGTGTTGCCATGTATGTACAGAGAAGCGCATGTCCGAAGACCACTCGTGCGGACATGCGCTTCTCTGTAAAATGATTTTTGGTAGAAATTTGTGATTCTAAGACGTTTCGTTCCTTGTGGGTGAAAGATTTTGGCAAATAATGTTTTGGCTTGATTAAGAGCATAATTCGAAGTTTTTATTTGTACGCTAAACAGCACATAGTTTCCTTTACAGACCTTAACAGGGAAGCCTCAGTACAACTGCGCCCAGTTGTTCAAATTAAAGGTGGATAACACTATCAGTGGATAACACGTTCAGTTTTGCTAGCCGATTTATCCACTGGATAGCGATTCATCCGGTGGATAGCGCTATCTAGCGTTTGAACATCCGGGACCAAAGCTTTAGTTTAATTTTCTAATTGAAGGAATGCTGAGTTTTAAACAAAGGTTAACTCCTCTAGGATAACAAGGAACACTTTCTTGGAAGGAAAAACGTCCATTTTCGAGAATCCGTCAGTGCATAAAGGACCTTTCTCCGTAATGGACATTTCAAGTCTAGAACAAGACCTCACTGGTATCAAACACTGGACCACTATTGGCCTGAGCACGTATTCGGGTATCGCCATAGAGTCCTTTAAGGCTCCAAATGGACAAGTCCTGCTTCCACGCCTAGGACCCTCTAGGCCCATTCTGCGAGTGCCTGTGGTTTTGTACCCTCCCTGGGTAGAGGCCGAAGAACCTCAAGAAACATATGAGGAGGAACTAATATGTCTGAAAAGAGGGTACCTCTGTTACAACAAAACCGGGACAAGGGTCAAAACATTGTGCTGTTTTGGGTTCTCCATAGATTTACTAGGAATTATTGGACGTGAACTGCAATTTTCTCCCGAAATTTACTTTGTCGCTGACGGACAGTATGGTATCTTTGATGAAAAGACAGGAAAGTGGAACGGAATTATCAGGGAACTGTTATCAGGAGAGGCAGATCTAAGCGTTGATATAGCTTTGAGCCAGAAAAGAGCCAAGTACATCGCTTTTTCTTTTCCTCATCTTCCTCTTGCTTTTAACGTCTTAGTGGAGAAGGAAGACCGCTACGGAAATGGTAAGACGACACAATCTTGAATTTACAAGATGTATTTAGTGAAAGGAGCTTCCTTCAAAATACCTCAGTTATGCAAATGCGTCATCGAGCAAGCGTGACGTCAGGATAGCAGGAAATTGGCCAAGTTCTTTTTTGCTTTGTTTAATATGGACCGAGAACAAGTCAAAGTCGATAAAAAACGCAAAAAAGAACAATGACATTATCCAGCCATTTTGATCGATCAATCTTGGTCAATAAAAGATTATTATGTGGCCAAAAGGAGAACTTTTTCTTTTGGGACCGACGCGGAAAATCCCGCGTGTACAAGGTGGGTCCATCTTGCCTGCTCGGGTGGCCAATCATCCTCGGAGACCCAGGGGCACTCAGTCGGGTCGCGAGAAAGGGCGCGACGAAAGTTTTCAAGTCCGGGCGAAAGAGCCCCTGGGTACCGACTCTCACCGAGCCATTTCCAAAAATTCAAGCGGATGCCGGCTCCTGATTGGGCAAAAAAAATGCTTTGTATTATTGTGCCCAATCGGCGAACAGTGTCTCCTGAGTTCTTTTCGTGAGTTCGTACACGACGGCTATTGTCTTGCCACACTTGCCCGGTTCGTTCACCAAGCTTGTGCGAGCAAGGGAAACTTTTATTTTCTGCTTTCCTAACCAGAAACGAAGGAACTATCGATGAGTCAAAAAACGTTTGGGACACTATCAGCAGGAGCAGTTCAATTTGCCCCGAGAATATTCTGTTTTTGACTCATCACAATGTATCGTAAATAATAGGAAGATAAAGATGCGGCGGCGACGAGAAAGTGAAATAAGCAATAGCTTGACAAGGCAAAACAACAACTTTGCACGTGCATCACACTTTTCTGTACATTTCTTTGCCGTCAACTGCACGACCTTCCCGTGAAAATGCCTAATTTCATGTTTTGTGAAGGACGTAAACAAGCAATGACAAAATTCATTCTCTTCATGGACTTGGATATGTTGATAGAAATTCAGAAATTTAGAAATTTACTGTTGTAAGCTCAAGCTTGTAGTTTTGGAAAAGCGTCCTGACTGCCGGCATTTCTTTGGTGCATGAGCCAGACAAGCCGTGATCGAAACAATAGCCGTCGTGTACGAACTCACGAAAGGAACTCAGGAGAAACTGTTCGCCGATTGGGCGCAATAATACAAAGCATTTTTTGTGCCCAATCAGGAGCCGGCATCCGCTTGAATTTTTGGAAATAGCTTGGTGAGAGTCGGTACCCAGGGGCTCTTTCGCCCGTACTTGAAAACTTCCGTCGCACCCTTTCTCCCGACCCGACTGACTGCCCCTGGGTCTCCGAGGATGGTGGCCAATCAGAACACAGGATTCGCTTCATCTTCCCCTCTCACGGTTAGGGTATGTACCGCTAAACGGGGTCGTAATTCGGAAACTCGAGGTATCCGTAAATAAGACGTTTACTTAAATCTAACGCTGATGCTAGAATTCGAAGACTACTATTCCAAGGGCGCTAAGTCTCTAATTTGTAATGCCACAGGGTAGGGGGTAGTTGGCTTTCTCGAGCCTAGCTGTAAGCAGGTTTTTTTTCTGTTGATTTATCTTTAATATTTAGGTGTTCAGTGGTATTCGTGGTTGAAACCGTTTGATGTTTGGTTGTGGTTAGCTATTCTTGGAACGTGCAACGTTATCCTGGTTGTGGTGTGGTGGTTTGATAGAAAGAGTCCAACCGGACATCACTATATTCTCAGGGAGAGAGACGAAGATGGAGTTACCCTGTTAGGTAAGTGCTTTATGGACTATAGCCTTCCCTTGCCTAGTCTCCGTACGACGTTTTCCCAGGCCTTCTCGGTCGCATGAATTCACTTCGGTGAAGTATCCGAGGCGAACTCACTTCTTCGCTCGGACCACGTGACCCAAGACGCATTGCCAGCCCAAAATAGGGATTAGGCAAAGCCTGTGCCAGACGGAACTAAATTTCTGGGTAATCCGTCTGCGAGCCAGCGCCGAAATCTTTGTTTTTAGCCTCCACCTGTCTACCAGGATTAGACTACGAGTAGTCCCCATTTTTCCTCCCGGATAGTAGAGCGAGCGAAACGCGAGTGCGCGTGAAATCAGCCCTCGCGAGAAAGGCGTCTATATACCAGGATTTGAGTACGTGCCATAATTGGCCTGTTAAAAAAGCCATAGTCAATTTACCAATCAGGTTGAAGGGAAATTTGAAACACCTTTCCAGTGATTCGTTTAGTCCGTCAGGAGCCCAGAACAAGGATCTCGGCTTTGCTTCGCAGACGTTACTAACTGAAGTTTGATTATGTTAGACTTTCTCAAAGTCGTTCGCTTGGTTTTCTGGTCTGGTGTTGTAGGACCCGGCCCGAACGAGCTTTCGCTAGCTCGCGCTCAAAAGCTCGACTTGTGAGCAAGTCTATGATTATGTCTGCGACGCAGGCTACATGGACTATGTTGCTGCTAGATCTCAGTTTTTAAAGACGGATAGAATCGAATGATATTAAAGAGAATAGCGCCAGTGTTGATGACCATGGGATGGGGACGCCAGCCTTTTTTATTAGCTGGGTCAAAATTGTTCCCAAAACAGTCCCATATGCAATTCAACGCAACATCCCAAAGTACGCCGGGAATGAATTATGATTACGCTCATGTCAGTTTCAAAAACGGATAAAATCGACCAACGTCAGAGAGAATAGCGGAAAGTTCCGTATATAGTCGCTCTGTATACAATACCCTGGGTGCTTACTTTTAGGGACTGTCCTCAAATACAAAACAAAATGAATCATATTATTACTGTACGAGGCAAGCCCGATTCTATTATCTTAGAGCTACCGTTAGAGTACAGTGTATTAATGGCACGTTTTCATGTTAGTACTTTTTCTGCAAGATTGCTGTATATCGTATTTCTCTTGCGTGGTAGACGCCATGAGCTATTTGTGGTAAAGACAAAGGGGCGAAAAAAACTCCTTGCAGTTTAAGTGCGAGATGGTTGTCCACCTTATATGCATTTATAAAACGTTTTCATGTTAATGCGTCTTCTGTATGATTGCTGTGTTCTTTGTTTCCCTTGTGTGGTAGATGCCATGAGCTATGTATGGGGAGTGGCCTTTGGTAAAGACATAGGAGCGGAAAAGACGCCACGCAGTTTAAGTGCGAGATGGGTGTCCACCGTGTATGCATTCATGGCCCTTATTCTTGTAAACACGTATTCTGCGAACCTGATGGCCAATCTATTGCAGGAAGACTATGTGTTACCTATCAAGGGGATTAAAGACCCAAAGGTATTCAGTCGGTTTGTTTTACTGATACCCATATTTATGTACCCTGCGAGCAGTTTCTCTCTTGCATGGCTATTTTTAGCGTGTTTTTCATGGAAAACCAGTGCGACTGACAAGCGACGCGAACTACTTCGTAAACGCTAAAAGCCATGCAAGAAAGAATCCTCTGCTTGCAGGGTAATATTTATGTGACTTCCGCGCATAAAAGAAAGTCAAGAGATTAGTATGATTAAACGGATAACATTATACAGCAATGAATGATTCAGACATCTAGTTTTTATTTCATTTTACGTTGCCAAAGTCTCACGATAAGGTGATTTGGCTTCAAAAATTTCCTACTTGTTAACCTTTTGCGGCAGCAAAAATTTTCCTTTAAGTCGAGCTAAGTCGTCTACGCCTCGCAATTTAAACTAACTAAATCTCGGAACAACTCAGGCCATGCTTCATATTTGACGATAACGGCAGATGTCCATTGGGTTTAACATTCTCTAAAGGGCTAAAACAGTAAAAGGATCAGTAAACACGAGGAAGTTTTTCAATCAAGGAAGTTTTTTTTCTCTGATTTTGTTAAATTGGCTTTGCATTCTTGTCGTTTGCGACTGCATTTGCTCACCGATGAAATTTCTCTAAAACCCCTGTAGAGCATTTGATTCAATGGCTTTGCGCGGTTCAGAGGAGGTTTCGTTATTCACCAAGAAAATTTGGCGGTCGGGTTTCCTCCAAACCCTGTGAAGTGAGATATAGGGGAGGAAAAAGGCTCTCTATTTCCTAATTTCATAAAGCTGAAAATTTTTGCTTCTCGACGTTACTAAAAGAGGGGAAAAAAAAATGTCGTCTTAATTTCTTTACAGTTGAGAGATCCTTCTCTTCACCCTCCAAATGGATTCAAACTTGGTGTCCTACAGGGCACTTTTGCTCAAAGTTACTTCAAGAATAATATTGACCATGAACTGCGTCAACTTTACAACGACAACTTAAAAGTAAATCTGATGACTCAATCGAGTGAAGGGATAAACAAACTCCAAGAAGGGTAAGTTTCATTACTAGATATATAAAGCACTCCCCAAAAAATACACCAAAATCTTTACCACTCTTTTGATGACGTTTTTTTGTTTTGTTTTATTGTTTGTTTGTTACTCATTATTACGGACAGTTTACTTTGTCCTTGGGGAAAAAAGCCCTTAAATTTTCTCTAAATTCAACCCGCTTAATACGGACACCCCGTCAATGCGGACACTTTCTATGGCCCCTCGGTCTCCGTATTAACGGGGTTTGACTGATAGATGAGAGATCACAACGGTTCTCCTCTATGTATATCGTCTTTTCTCCATTTGGTGCCCTGTCGTGGTCGTCTAAAATTCAATACGCTCTCACCCCAAATAACGATTGCCCATAGGGGTGACAAGTGACACCCAACCAGGGAAATGAACACAGGAAATACAGCAAAGTAAAATGATTGTGCTGCCCCAATAAAAACTATTTGGGCGACTTAACTTTACTTCGTTTTTTCGGGCTACACAATCTGCGAATGTAACGTTTCTTCTTTGGAATTTTGGTCGGCCCCCCTTCCCTCTGTTTTCTCCCAAAACACTTGTTGTCAGCTTGGTATGTACTATATACCAGTGTATTTAGATTTTGCTCTTGTTTTACAGTGAGATCCAAGGCCTGGTGGGTGATTACCTTTCTCTGCGTGGAGCCGCCAACAAGATTCCGCGCTGCAACAACTACTGCTTAGCCGGTCCTAACTTTTACACACACGGTGTAGCGTTTGCTGTCCCTAAAGGCTCGCCTTGGCTCGATGATATCAATAGAGTTGCCTTAGAGATGAAAACAAACGGAAGTGTTAGCATGATTGAAAAGAGGTATTTTGACAAGATGTGCAGTAGAACTTCTGCTAAAGACCTGAGTATCCTCAACTTTAGTGGACTTTTCCTAACGGTGGCTATAGCGATAGCGGTTTGCTTTTTAGCACTCCTAGCCGAAGTAACCGCCATTGTCGTCTTGGTACGGTTTAGAAAACATCTTGGAGTTGTTGGAAAATTCTCCATGCGATTATTATTCAATCTCAAAAGAGGCGAAGAGCACCTTATAGCTTTGAAGCAATCCTCAATGACCATGAAAAAATGGAACTGTGTTAAGATGGATATAGTAAGAGTAGACAATTGTTCGGCGAATTCAACGTCTGTAGTTGAGTCACGATGCAATTCGGTAAATACAGCAAATGATTTGGATAATCTTCAGCCGAGGCTAGACTGCCAGCCTCCTTGTGACAAGGAGGATGTTATTTCAAACCATGAAAGAAGCTTGAATTCTCCAATTTTAAAAACATGGTGTTAACAAGCTGTTTCCAAGTTGATATTTTAACCTTATAGCTAATAGGCATGTAAAGTTAATTAAGGAGTCGTGGCCAGACCTTCAAAAGGTCAGGTAATACCGGTGTCACAGTGATATGGGCACCACCGCGTTTTGGGAATCCCCCTTCCCAAAACCCTATTGTTCTGCACATCCCCTGTAACCCTAAGCCTAACCCAAACCCAAATCGCTAAGGTAAGATGAGAAGGGAATACCCATATCACTTGGGTTTTGGGAATGGGGATGCCCAAAACGTGCGGATGCCCATGTCACTGTTACACCGGAATGATTCTGACGTTGTCAACTTGAGGAATCCAATGTGAGCAGTTCATTGAGGACAAGTCATTCAGTTATTTGATGCAGACGTATCTCACTGTGCTGACATCAAACGTATACAGTATGTGGTCCTTGGTCTGCGTGTAAAAGTCATTAACTTGAATATCTTACCCGAATCTTCATGTAACGAGCTGAAATACTCCCTGAAGATAGCTTTTATGTTCCTGTCAATAATCCTGAAGTTTCAAGTTCCAGACATAAATATTTTGCTTAGAATTCGCAAAAAGGCGACCGTTTTCGATGGTCCTTGGTCCGCGAATCTGGTCCTTGGTCCGCGTCTCAGGTAAGCAGCACGATAAAAACGTAAAAATGTTATAGTTTCCACACGAAAACGTGATTTTCACAGTATTTCTTGTATTTTTTTCTTTTCTTGATGCAATTAAGCTAAAGTTTTTTTCGGAAGATGTTGTGAGCATAAAATAATCTGCTTTTCTTTTAAAGACTTCAGACAACAGTCTCCTCGAGTCTCCCACACGAGCGTCGACGAGCGGTTTTCAGCGCGGTCGAAAATAATTACCAAAAACTCTGTATGTACTCGAGGTTTTAAAAAAGAGAACTTGTAGACATGTATAGGGACGAATTTCAAAACATTCTTCGAAAACAAAGGCCGTCGCTTTTTACTTTAGAAAGTTTTCTTCAACCAAGGTCATAGGACGCGGACCAAGGACCGCTAAGCGAAATTTGGTGATATTTTTCAAGAGTCGCTAAAACAAAAAATTCAGCGTCTACAGCAATATGCTTCCAACAGCAGAAATAAGTTGATCTGAAAACCTGTTCTGCAAAAAGGCAAGTCTTCCCGTTGCGTTTTAGTTATTCGCAGGCTAAGTAAACATGACCACGTAATTTACGGTGCCGCAAAAATCCAAACTTCAAGAAAGACAAATTAACCTACCTGTCAACAAACTTTAATTTCACGTCTTCACCCTCAGCAAGAAGGCTGAAACTTCGTCATATGAAAGAATACTAATCAGTAAATCACGATATCTTTCATTATTCAACGTATTTTTTTTCTTGACGAAATATTTTATCATTTTCGGAAAAGACGCGGACCAAGGGCATCGGGGACTTCCGCGGACCAAGGACCACATACTGTACTGTGCATTCTTCCAAATGCTGTTATATGTTCCAAGTTAGAACCTTTGTCCGTCTTATATAGAAAACCACTTAAAAGCCACCCTTTAGATGTGACAGAAATAATGTGGGAACGTATTGAGAAGCTACATCATGTACTGAAAAAACGTAAAAAGAAAAACAGAAAAAGGATGCCGACAGGAATTAGGCTGCCCAACGTGGAATGACGCGCATCTCCACCTTGGTGTTATAATTCCCCACTTGAGAAACTCCTAGGGAGAATGGTGACAAGTTTTGGGTGCAGTGATTTCTGGGATTGTTTGGGTAAATAAGTGCTAGTTATGATTGGTCGATGGTAGTCTAGGCAACCATTAACCAATCATAAGTAACGCTTGTCCACCCAAGCGATCACAGAAAATGTCGCGCCGAAAGATAGTACCCATTTTCCTTATGATCTCTTGAGTGGAGTGGAGAATATAAATTACTGACTGATTTGTTCCCAGTCGTCCAACTGCCAAACATTACGCTGGCGAAAAGCCTACGCGTCGAGATCGCATAGCAATGTTCATTAAAAATTATACGACTGTTCTCAGTATTGAAAAAAAAAAAAAAGGCCAGAACATGTCCATAACAGTAGATATCCCACAATTATGTATATATTACAGAAATTACAGCCACACTTTGTATTGCTGAAATCAAGAGAGAATAATCTAGATTATTTTCTCCTGCTGGGATTATAAACTGTCGCGTTTTATGAGTGCTTCATCGGGATCTCTAAACCTTGAGTTTCAGATCAAGGGCACATAGATTTAGTGCTTAGAAACTTGCATCTTCTTAACTTGCTAAAAAGTATTAGCTTACCTTGTTACAACACTATTACAAACATATTTTTATATACGTTCTAGACCGACGCATTTTAAAATCATACATTTTTGTAATGTTTATGCTTATTAGTACTATCTCATTAGTGTTAATTAACTATCTAAGAAAACAATTATATTTGCTGTTTTTAGAACATCATCTAGTAAACGTTTTAATTACTGCGCCATATTTGTTGTTTTAAACTGATGTATTACGAACTCTTCTTAATATTTCTGTTAATTGATTGTTCATTACCTATGATACGTTAGAATACAGGCTTAGAGCAGCCTCCTCCTCAGGCACTTCGTTTTTCGCAAGGTAGAGGCGAGCGACTGGTGATGAGCCGCAAGGGGCTATGGGAAGGGTACAGACGGCTTCCCGCCTTCCTTTGCGCGCGCGAGAGAGACGTCTGGGTACCAGGCAGGGCTAAGAGCAAAGGACAAATTGGACTAGCTCATTTATGTGTCTTTTTCAAACAGTCAGAGGAAATCAATGTGTTCAGTAAGGAGCCCGAATTTCAGCCGTCTCTTCCAATCGCAAACTGGTCTCTCTCGGGAGACAATCAATATCAGCGCGATAATCGTGAGACAAACGATAAAATAAACTCTTTACACACCTAACCTAGCCATGATGAACAATAATCAAGAAAAGTACCCCAAAATCAAATGATGCTAAAAATAAACTTATTCTCGAAAGCACTGTTGGGTGGGTTAAGCATAGGAGTTGCTCCGATTTATGGGCTCCTAAAGCAATTCAATACATTGCTGAAACAGTATTTCACAACCAGTTAAGGCCTTTAGAATAGTTGTCCTTGAAAGCTTCGCTTGTCGGCCGCCCGGTTTGCTTACTTGGATTAGCCTTGGTATGCTGAGCGGGAGGTCGCGCGTTCAAATCCCGGCCGGACTTACGCCAGGGTTTTTAAGGAGGAAGTGCTGCCTTTAGAACTGTCATCTGCAAATAGTAACAGTGTCTAGTCTTGTCGAATAAGGATGTAAAACCGTAGACCCCGTCTCACAGCCCTTGTTCATGTAATGTTATGTGGGACCTTAAATAACTTTTTGTAAAGAGAAGTAAAGAGAAAGGGATTAAGTCCCCGGTGAACAGCCCCCTGGGGTAAAAAAAATTATTGTGATACTTATGACTTACAATTTACCATAAAGTCTTTGAACACACAACGTGACGCAAAAAGAAGCGAAAAAATGTAGAGCACTGACTTACGAAAGCTGGGAAACTGTTGAATTCATCGATGATCTGCACTTGCCTGGACTTTCGTCAGTTTCGTGACCGGCTAGTTTCGGAATTCTTTCCGTCCCCGTATTTCTTCCCCAATCATCCTCTAGCTACCCACCCTCCCCCCCACCTCCACTCTCCCGCCAATACTTCCTCTCAGAGAGAAGTCTGGGCCTAGAAGACGCCAAGATGGCGGCTATATTCTCTTGTTAAAATATGTGAACGAAAACATAGTCAGCAGAGCTAAGATGGGATTGTTTTGTATTTTTGTTGATGACCAGTAGAGTCCCACAACACATTTCTTAACATCTGGATCAATAAGTTATTTGAGAAGTGGAGATATTGGTGAGTATTATTATAAATTTATTTAACTTTTTAGCTCACATATCAGTCTTGAATCAATCAGTCTAATGAAGCTTGAATCATGTGTTGTTATGGGATAATTTAAAGGGTAATGCAAAACGAAACTCTTTCGAATTTCGAAGGAAAACTCTTGTTAATAAGCAGCAAAAAATATTGTAAGAAATATTTTGTAACATGGATATAGTACTCATGGGACCTTGAGGAAGGTCCCTCCACAGGCAGATCACCCTGTGTTCGTGTGGCCGTTGTTGATCGAATTCTGAGCTTTGATCTTTTGTTCTTTGTGGAAGGAATTATACAGATGAAACTTATGGTGGCTATAATTTGACCCAAAATATTTTTAATGGCCCAGTCAATTACAAGCATGCCCATCCCCACTTCCCCCCAGGCATTTGTCATGTTTTTGGAACAACTGCAAATGCCCCCTAGGGTCAATCAATCAATCAAACTATATTTTGTCACAGTAATTTCGTCAGGTTTTAAAAAGAAACAAATGACTGGTAGATAATAATTATTGATAAATACTATGAATACTAAAAAGTATAAAACTAAGCTCTATAAGCTAAATGAAAACTACTTGATTACAATAATAAATAAAAACTCTGCTTTACATGGATGCCGTGAGTGAGACAGTTAGAGAAATCATTGCAGTGTAGTTTTGCTTTAAATTAGTTGAGGGTTTCTGCTTTGTGAAGATCAAGAGGAAGACTCTTCCATAATCGAGCATTGCTGTACTAAAACTTCCTTTAAAGTAATAAGTACATGGTGAGGAACAGTTAGGTTATTCTCAAGATCTTGTAAAGGATAGTTCACAAGCTCATTTCTGGAAATGAACTTGGAACATAAATATTCTGGAGCCAGATCATACAGTGACTTAAAAACTGTTACTGCATGTTCGAATAACAGCCGGCCCTGGTTGTTGTAGCCTGATTCTCAGAGGGAGAGAAGCAAAAGGGACCATGAACGACCTCGGACGTCTAAGAATCAGGCTATGGTTGTTCAAAAGGAGGATAGCGCTATCCAGCAGATAAATCATTATTCACTGGATAGCGCAATTAGTTTTCCTAATACTTATC